CTCGTGATTGCGCTCCTCTCGATTGCGCTGCTGCAGCAGAGTGCTCGCTCCTGTCGCTTGCACTCCTCTTGATTGTGCTCCTGTCCATTGAGCTGCTGTTGATTGCACTTTTGTCGATTGCGCTCCTGTCGATTGCGTTCGTCTTGATTGCGCTCATGTCGATTGTGCTGCTCCAGCAGAGTGAGCGCTCCTCTCGATTGCGCTCCTCTCGATTGCGCTCCTCTCAATTGCGCTGCTCTCAATTGTGCTGCTCCGACAGAGTGTGCGCTGTCCAGCAGTTCGCTGATGAGATTGCGCTTCTCAGATTGCGTTGCTCCAGCTGTGCGTTGCTCTTGAGCTGTGTGTTGCTCTTGAGCTGTGCATTGCTCTCGAACAGTGCGTTGCTCTCGAGCTGTGCGCTGCTCAGATTGCGTTGCTCCAGCAGAGTGTGCGTTGCTCCAGCTGTGAGTGCGTTGCTCCAGCTGTGCGTTGCTCAATTTGCGCTGCTCCAGCAAAAATAAATTTGTTTGCGTTGCGGCACTTGAGCAGTGTAAATTTCGAGTGCGTTGGGGGTCAACGCAGTCGCGTGAATTTCGATTTTGGCGGAGCGCAATTGTGCGTTGCTCAATTTGCGCTGCTCCAGCAAAAATAAATTTGTTTGCGTTGCGGCACTTGAGCAGTGTAAATTTCGAGTGCGTTGGGGGTCAACGCAGTCGCGTGAATTTCGATTTTGGCGGAGCGCAATTGTGCGTTGCCCGCAAGCAAGACACACCGGCTAGGGCTAGGTGGTGATGCATCACTGCATGGAATGCAAACTCCAAGTTGACCAGGATCGAGGTTGCTGTATTGACTGGCTTGGATGTGCCATCAGGAGAGAGGCAGAGGTGGAGGAAGGTGCGTAGCAGAGGAAGACGTTCCAGCTCACCATAGGCAGGAGGATCTTGGGTGATGAGGTAGACACTGATCGACTGGATGCCACTAAATGCTTGCAAAACCACATCAGGATGCATGGAGACATCAACATCCAGATTGGGATCATGGAAGAGGTCCTGAAGGTCCTCAAAGAGCCCTGCAAGCTGTTCACTGATGCCAAGGTGTGCATCCTGATCATCATCACCATAGTAGCCAAGAACCTTGCCATCTAGCATGACATGAGCCAGCATGGTGATGAGCATTGCCCAGCAGTCAGCATGCTTGATGACTGTGGGTTGATCAAGGGAGTATGGATGGCTAGGGGTGTCGTCAAAGGCATGGAAGGTTTGTGTCAGGGGTCTCGCGCCTGAAACCCAGGTCGGTCTGTCGAGATACTCGGTGACTATCAAACTGTGTGACAGCTATTGTCTCGGTATCAGTGACTATCAAGTTGTGCAGTGACAGCAGGTGGCGTTCGTTGTATATACTATCGTAGGTTTCGGCTGACCTCTGTGGACACTCCGTTCAGGGGTAGCTCGGCACGATCAATATCAATGTTATGATGACACCAAGGTCTGGTGTGGGTGTTGATGATGATGAGGTTGATGGTGTTGGTGATGAGATTGGTGATGTCGATGATAATGAGGTTGATGGTGTTGATGATAAGATTGGTGATGTCAATGATAATGAGGTTGATGGTGTTGGTGATAAGGTTGGTGGCGTCAACACGAGTGTCCAGTGTGTTGACTTGATGCTTTGAAGTGATCCCCGGACCGCAGTGGACTACTGCCTTCGGTTCTATCTATATCCGGACCGCTAACCTGCTATGGGCGCCTTCGGACGTCAGGTAGTGGTGATACAACACACACACTACGATGAGGAGCAACCTTGATAGATTGCTGCTATGCTGACTGAAACTAATGTATACTTATGCTGAAGTGATAACTAGTTATGGTGAGTAGAGTGGATGGGGATCCACTTGACCTATGATGATGAGAAAGCATGGTTATATACCTCTTCACAGCATCGCCAGCGATGCTGCTCCTGCTCTCTCTCCAGAGAGTACTTTCTTCATCGAGTACTGCTCAGGGGCCTCTCCTGCTTGGCACCCCTGTGCCTCTTGAGTGGTGTCGACTCCTTCGACACTGCTCCTCCTCCTCATGACCTGTGTCGACTCCTTCGACACTGCTCCTCCTCCTCATGACCTGTGTCGACTTCTTCGACACTGCTCCTCCTCCTCATGACCTGTGTCGACTTCCTGTCTCTCAAGCCCCTGAGTGGTAACCATCTGAGCTTGGTCCTCCTCATGGCTGCGCCTGCTCTTTGAGCTTGGTCCTCCTCGTGGCTGTGCCTGGTCCTCCTCGCATATGGGCTCAGTGCTCCTTTGCATGTGAATCCATAGGAGTCCATGGTCTCCATGGAGACTGCACTACGACCATGCTCTCTACTGGTATCGACTAGGTCTTCGATACCTGTGCTCCGTCCATATGAACCAGTGACCCTCCTGCTTCTTGAGCATCCAGGCCCATGACAGTTTGCTGCACCTGGCGGCCAGATTGAAGAAGTGCCTCCATCCACTGCTGCATACACTGTTGTGTCATGCCAAGCAGCCAGTGAAGGAAGTCCTGGTGGGCACCTGGCCACTTGTGAGGGTTGCAGCCAAGGGAACCAATGGCCGCCACTGGCTTGCCAGCCCAGTACTCCTGCCAGCCTAGCTGCTTGAGCCATGGGCTGAGATTGCCAGTCACAGTTCGTGGTTGAATGCCCTCCATGTCCAGATCTGCCTTTGCCATTAGCTCTGCATCCTTGGCAAAGAATGCTTCCAGCTGCTCCTTGAAAGCTGTGTCCTCCTCTGTGTTGATGTTGGTGTTGATGTTGAAGGCAACAGGAGGGGGTGTAGGCTCGAGCTTGCTGTTGAAGACCCACACATAGCGGGTGAAGGGACCACTGGTGAAGATGGGCTGAATGAGAACAGGGTGGATGACAGAAGCCTTGCCATCATGGCTGCTGCACTGGTGCTTGTATGCAGAGGAGCTCAACTTGACAGCATACTCGCAGATACTGCAACAGTAGCCATCAAATGTATCAAGCTCCTTGATGAGGTTGATGGGGAGTAGATTGGTGTTGATGCTGACAGTAGCAGGGCTGACAAGGTCGAGAGTAAGGAGTGTCTCCTCCAACAGCTTGATGCCAGTCTTGGTGAGCAGATGATGGTGGGACTTGAGGTGCTGAGACACATTGGCATAGGTTGGGATGAGCGGCAGGTGGTGAGTGCACTCAGGGCGAGTGCAGAGGAGAAGAGAAGGGTGCTGGAGGAGGCGGAGGCAGAAGCTGCAAAGCTGGTTGGCAACCTTCAGATCAACTGGAGCAGCAAGAGCAGTCTGGTTGGCAGCAGGGAGCGGCAAAGTGCTGTTGATGACAAGGAGAGCATAGATAGCACAAGTGACGTCAGTTGATGCTGATCAAGAAGATACACTGGAGAGAGAAGCAGTGTACATACAAGTCATCATCACTGTTGATGGCATCAGAAGGAGCGAGGTCATCAGCTACTGGAGATGGGAAAGCATCATCAGGGTTTGAAAGAGCATTGGCACTGTGCATCGCAAGGTTCTTGATGATGGCAAGAGGAACTTGGCTTTCAGTGAAGGGGTTGATGCTGCTACTGTGACAGTGACAGCAAAGCTCGGTAAGAGACAGAGACTGGTCAGTTGGAGATCAATAGGAAGAGGCAAAGGAAGAGGATAATAGCACGTACCTGACTGCAGCAGCAGTGTTGATGCTGGCACCAATGGAGATGGAAGATGATTGAGACATTGTAGATTGTGGTTGGTGTTAGCAGCAAGAAGAGCTAGATGTTGCTGGTGTGGTATGGTGCTGAGAGATGTGAGCGTTGAGGAGACTTGCCATAGCTGTGAAAGAGGGCTGGTATATATGCTAATGCTGAGGAGCTCAGGTGTTGGCAATGACAAAGTCAAAGGATGCATGTGCAGACACACACACAATGATGATGGGGAACAACAACATTGGATTGCTGAGTGTGGGAATAGAGTACAGGCGGTGATGTGAAAGGTGATGTGCAACAAAGCAATGATGAGAACAAAGGGTTGAAGATCGACTAAGGATTGATGATGAGCAAAGGCCTGGAGGAAACAAGTGGCAATGGTGATGTGTGGTGATGGTGAGAAAAGCAGCAGTGGCAAGAACAAAGGGGTGAGAGCATAAAGGACAAAGGTGTGAGAGTGTAAGAACAAAGGTTAATGATGTCGACAAAGGTGTGAGAGCATAAAGGACAAAGGCTGATGATGTTGACAAAGGTGTTGCAAGGCTGATTGGTAGTGAGGTGTGAGCGTGAGAGAGAAATGATGTCGACAAAGGTGCTGTAAGGCTGAGCGGTAGTGAGGTGTGAGTGTGAGAGAGAAATGATGTCGACAAAGGTGTTGTAAGGCAGAGTGGTAGTGAGGTGTGAGCATGAGAGAGAACAACAGCTGATGAAGACAAGTGGTGATTATGTTGTGCGGTGATGATGAGAAGTAGTGGCAGCAAGAACAAAGGGCTAAGAGTGCAAAGGAGGCTCATGATGTCGACAAAGGAGTTGTAAGGCTGAGTAGTTGTGGGGTGTAAGTGCAAGAGTTGTGCTGGAGCTCTGCATTGCTCTCGAGCTGTGCGCTGCTCAGATTGCATTGCTCCAGCAGAGTGTGCATTGCTCCAGCTGTGAGTGCATTGCTCCAGCTGTGAGTGCGTTGCTCCAGCTGTGAGTGCGTTGCTCTCAAACAGTGTGTTGTTCTCGAGCAGTGCGTTGCTCTTGAGCTGTGTGTTGCTCTCGAACAGTGCGTTGCTCTCGAGCTGTGCGCTGCTCAGATTGTGTTGCTCCAGCTGTGAGTGCATTGCTCCAGCTGTGAGTGCGTTGCTCCAGCTGTGCGTTGCTCAATTTGCGCTGCTCCAGCGAAAATAAATTTGTTTGCGTTGCAGCACTTGAGCAGTGTAAATTTCGAGTGTGTTGGGGGTCAACGCAGTCGTGTGAATTTCGAATTTGGCGGAGCGCAATTGTGCGTTGCCCACAAGCAAGACACACCGGCTAGGGCTAGGGCTAGGGCTAGGGTGTGCCAGCCATGAAGGCACTCTTCACAGCACTCAGGAAGCAGTTGCAATGCCATGCCTGCCCTGACCCAGGCTACACATACACATGGGATGGTCAAGCCCAACAGTTCCAAATCAAGTGCTCAGTGTGTGGCAGAAAGCTGAACCAGTCCCAGGCCAGGGAGCATATCCTCCAGCTTGTTACCCAGGATGAGTTGATCTTGCCAGAGGAGTTCCTGCCAGCCCCTGCCAAGTCAACTTGGTCTCCCTCCCCAGCTGAGCCAATCACCACAGTGGAGCATCTGCCCACTCCAGAGGCTCCAGCTGCCACCACCACCATGCAGCTGCATTCCAAGATGGTCCAGGACCCTACAACAGCCATGGAGATGTCTTTGGAGATCCACTGGGTGCCCATGCTCAACACTATTGTCCCAATGGATGGTATGGTGGAGGTACCACATCTACCAAGGGTCAAGCGGTCCACCACAATCAAGCCAGATGGTAACTGTCTTTTTAGGGCTGTCAGCTACCATGTCTATGGTACTCAGGACCACCACATGGAGGTCAGGAAAGATGCAGTGGAGTGGCTCCATAGCCAACCATACTTGGTGGCCACCTTTGCTGCAGAGGGTAGTGGTCACCTTGGACCTGGTGCCTGGCTGGACCAGATGGCCAAGGAAGGCACCTGGGGAGATGAGCTCACCCTCCTGGGACTCGCAGAGGCACACCACTGCAGCCTGTGGGTGTACTCTGACCAGCATGACCTCCACACCACCTACCCAGGTGGAGCTGGTGGACCATACCAGGGGCTCATCCACCTGGGTGGCAACCACTATGAGATCCTGAGCTTGTGATCAGACTGACCAGACTGTATGTACATAGCACTCCTCACAAAGCCCAAAGAAACACCCTTGTAAATAGCCAACAACCTCTGCTGGTCATGACTGTTACATGTCACCAAGTAGGGTTAGAGTTGGCCAACACAAGTCACCATATCTCAATGACCAGACTTCACTCCTGTCTGAAACTCTGTATCCATCATCTCCTAGCATGTGTCTACAATGTTCATTAAGGTAGCATAAAGATCTGAGGTGGTCCATATCCTACCCCTCCAAGGGGGGACCCTTGCAGCTTTGGCCAAAATTTCAAAAATGCAAAGTTGGCCACAGCTCCACAACAAGTTGGTCTATCATCATGACAGTCTAGGACACTCTTATTGGTGTATAGAGCAACAACTTTTATTATGGGTGCATGTCAAAAATATCAATATTTCAATGACCTGACTCGTACCAGGCCCAACTTCACCAAGCTGTATCGGAAAATTTTATTACTCAACTGGAGTAGGGTTGGATAATGAAACATGCATAGTTTGGGTAGTACTACAACTTTGATTAAGCAACCCTACTCGATTTAAAAATGGAACCCCCTTGTAAGCTCTCGATTACACTCCTCTCAATTGCGCTCCTCTCTCTCTTGCGCTCCTGTCAATTGCACTCCTCGTGATTGCGCTCCTGTCAATTGCGCTCCTGTCGATTGTGCTCCTGTCGATTGCACTCCTCTCTGCTGCTCGTCTCTCGATTGCGCTCCTCCAGCATAGTGTTCTGCTCTCGATCGAGCTCCTGTCGATTTCACTCCTCTCTTGCGCTCCTGTTGATTGCTCTCCTCTCTTGCACTCCTGTTGATTGCTCTCCTCTCTCTTCCACTCCTGTCGATTGCGCTCCTCCAGCATAGTGTTCGGTGCTTCGAATTGTGCTCCTATCGATTGCACTCCTGTCTATTGAACTCGTCTTGATTGCACTCCTCTCGATTGCTCTCCTCTCGATTGCACTCCTCTCAATTGCGCTTCTCTATCTCGCTCTGCTCTCTCTTGCGCTACTGTTGATTGCGCTCCTCTCTCCTGCTCTGCTCTCGATTCCGTGCCTGTCGATTGAGCTCCTTTCGATTGCGCTGCTCTAGCAGAGTGTTTGCTCCTTCGATTGTGCTTCTCCAGCTGAGTGAGCGCTCCTGTCGATAGAGCTCCTCCAGATTGTGCTGCTCCAGCAGAGTGTGACCTCCTCTCGATTGCTCTGTTTTCGATTGCGCTCCTGTCCATTGTGCTCCTGTTGATTGCACTCCTGTCGATTGCACTCCTCTCTCTTGCTCTGCTCTCGATTGGGCTCCTCTCGATTGCACTTCTGTCGATTGTGCTCCTGTCGACTGTGCTCCTGTCGATTGGTCTCCTGTTGATTGAGCTCCTCTCTTCTGCTCTTCTCTCGATTGCGCTCCTGTCGATTGCGCTCCTCTCCAATGAGCTCCTGTCGATTGCGCTCCTGTCGATTGTGCTCCTGTCGATAGAGCTCCTGTCGATTGCGCTGCTCTTGATTGTGCTGCTCCAGCAGAGTGAGCAGTCCTCTCGATTGCGCTGCTGCAGCAGAGTGAGCGCTCCTCTCGAATGCTCTGATCTCAGTTGCGCTCCTGTCGATTGCGCTCCTCTTAATTGAGCTCCTGTCAATTGCGCTCCTGTCAATTGCGCTCCTCTTAATTGCGCTCGATTTGCGCTCCTGTCAATTGCGCTGCTCTAGCAGAGTGTTTGCTCCTTCGATTGTGCTTCTCCAGCAGAGTGAGCCCTCCTGTCGATTGCGATCCTCTTAATTGCACTCGCTTTGATTGCGCTCCTGTCGATTGCACTCCTGTTGATTGCGCTGCTGCAGCAGAGTGAGCACTCCTGTCAATTGCGCTCCTCACTGCTGCTCGTCTCTCGATTGCGCTCCTCTCAATTGCGCTCCTGTCGATTGAGCTCCTCTGAATTGTGCTGCTCCAGCAGTGGAGCGCTCCTCTCTCCTCCCCTGCTCTCGATTGCGCTCCTCTCTACAGCGCTCCTGTCGATTGTTCTGCTTTCGATTGCGCTACTGTCGATTGCTCTTCTCTTGATAGCACTCCTCTTGATTGCGCTCCTCTTGATTGTGATCCTCTTGATTGCGCTCCTCTTGATTGCGCTCCTCTCTGCTGCTCTTCACTCGATTGCGCTCCTGTCAATTGCGCTCCTCTCCAATGAGCTCCTGTCCATTGCGCTCCTCTTGATTGCGCTCCTGTTGATTGCGCTCCTGTCGATTGCTCTGCTCTCGATTGCGCTCCTGTCCATTGTGCTGCTCTTGATTGAGCTCCGTGCTGTTATCAATTGCGCTCCTCTCTCTTCCTATGCTCTCGAGTGAGCTCCTGTCGATTGCGCTCCTCTCGATTGCGCTGCTGCAGCAGAGTGCTCGCTCCTGTCGTTTGCACTCCTCTTGATTGCGCTCCTGTCGATTGAGCTGCTGTTGATTGCACTTTTGTCGATTGCGCTCCTGTCGATTGCGTTCGTCTTGATTGCGCTGCTCTTGATTGTGCTCCTGTCGATTGCGCTGCTCTTGATTGTGCTGCTCCAGCAGAGTGAGCGCTCCTCTCGATTGCGCTCCTCTCTCTTGCGCTCCTCTCTCTTGCACTCCTGTCGATTGCACTCCTGTCAATTGCGCTCCTCTCTCTTGCTCTGCTCTCGATTGAGCTCCTCTCGATTGCACTTCTGTCGATTGCGCTCTTGTCGATAGAGCTCCTCTCTACTGCTCTGCTCTCGATTGCGCTCCTGTAGATTGCTCTCCTGTCGATTGCACTCCTGTCGATGGGTCTCCGGTCGATTGGTCTCCTGTCGATTGAGCTCCTCTCTTCTGCTCTTCTTTCGATTGCGCTCCTGTCGATTGCGCTCCTCTCTGCTGCTCTTCACTTGATTGCCCTCCTCTCGATTGCTCTGCTTTCGATTGCGCTGCTCTGATGCTGCTCTGAGTTGTGCCTCTCCGACAGAGTGGGCACTGTCAAGCAGTGCGCTCCTCTTAATTACGCTGTCCAGCAGTGCGCTCCTCTTGATTGTGCTGCTCCAGCAAAGTGTGCGCTGCTCTCGATCGAGCTCCTCTAGATTGTGCTGCTCCAGCAGAGTGAGCGCTCCTCTTGATTGCGCTCCTCTCTCCTGCTCTGCTCTCGATTGAGCTCCTCTCGATTGCGCTGCTCTTGATTGAGCTCCTGTCGAATGCACTCCTGTCGATTGCGCTCCTCTCAAGATTGCGCTCCTCTCTCCTGCTCTGCTCTCAATTGCGCTTTTGTCTCTTGCTCTGCTCTCGTTTGCGCTCCTGTCAATTGCGCTCCTCTGCAATGAGCTCCTGTCGATTGTACTCCTGTCGATTGCGCTCCTCTCTTCTGCTGGTCTCTCGATTGCTCTCCTGTCGATTGCACTGCTCTCTCCTGCTCTGCTCTCGAGTGAGCTCCTGTAGATTGTGGTCCTCTTGGTTGCGCTCCTCTCGATTGCGCTGCTGCAGCAGAGTGAGCGCTCCTCTTGATTGCGCTCCTCTCTGCTGCTCTGCTCCCGATTGGGCTCCTCTCGGTTGCTCTCCTCTCGATTGCACTCCTCTCAATTGCGCTCCTCTCTCTCGCTCTGCTCTCTCTTGCGCTACTGTCGATTGCGCTGCTCTCTCCTGCTCTGCTCTCGAGTGAGCTCCTGTCGATTGCTCTCCTGTCCATTGAGCTCCTGTCCATTGAGCTCCTGTCCATTGAGCTCCTTTCGATTGTGCTCCTGTCGAATGCACTCCTGTCGATTGCGCTCCTCTCTGCTGCTCGTCTCTAGATTGCTCTCCTGTCGATTACGCTCCTCTCTCTCGCTCTGCTCTCTCTTGCGCTACTTTCGAATGCGCTGCTCTCTCCTGCTCTGCTCTCTCTTGCGCTTCTGTCGATTGTGCTCCTCTCTCCTGCTCTGCTCGTGATTGCGCTCCTCTCGATTGCGCTGCTGCAGCAGAGTGCTCGCTCCTGTCACTTGCACTCCTCTTGATTGTGCTCCTGTTGATTGAGCTGCTGTTGATTGCACTTTTGTCGATTGCACTCCTGTCGATTGCGTTCGTCTTGATTGCGCTCATGTCGATTGTGCTGCTCCAGCAGAGTGAGCGCTCCTCTCGATTGCGCTCCTCTCAATTGCGCTGCTCTCAATTGTGCTGCTCCGACAGAGTGTGCGCTGTCCAGCAGTTCGCTGAGATTGCGCTTCTCAGATTGCGTTGCTCCAGCTGTGCGTTGCTCTTGAGCTGTGTGTTGCTCTTGAGCTGTGCGTTGCTCTCGAACAGTGCGTTGCTCTCGAGCTGTGCGCTGCTCAGATTGCGTTGCTCCAGCAGAGTGTGCGTTGCTCCAGCTGTGCGTTGCTCAATTTGCGCTGCTCCAGCAAAAATAAATTTGTTTGCGTTGCGGCACTTGAGCAGTGTAAATTTCGAGTGCGTTGGGGGTCAACGCAGTCGCGTGAATTTCGAATTTGGCGGAGCGCAATTGTGCGTTGCCCGCAAGCAAGACACACCGCCTAGGGCTAGGGTTGGATAATGAAACATGCATAGTTTGGGTAGTACTACAACTTTGATTAAGCAACCCTACTCGATTTAAAAATGGAACCCCCTTGTAAATCGTTCCTCTCGATGACCCTGTCTGGTAAGCTCTAGCTGTGCTTCCAATAGAGTGAGTAGTCTATCGAGCTTATTGTTGAGGTCTGTGTCATGGGCCTGGATGCTCAAGAAGCAGGAGGGTCACTGGTTCATATGGAAGGAGCACAGGTATCGAAGATCTAGTCGACACCAGTAGAGAGCATGGTCGTAGTGCAGTCTCCATGGAGACCATGGACTCCTATGGACTCACATGCAAAGGAGGGCCAAGCACAGCCACGAGGAGGACCAAGCTCAAGGAGCAGGCACAGCCACGAAGAGGACCAAGCTCAAGGAGCAGGCACAGCCACAAAGAGGACCAAGCTCAAGGAGCATGCAGATGGTTACCACTCAGGGGCTCGAGAGACAAGAGCCAAAGGAACTGTCACTGATCAAAGGAGGAGGAGCAGTGTCGAAGGAGTCGACACCAGGTCATGAGGAGGAGGAGCAGTGTCGAAGGAGTCGACACAGCTCAAGAGGCACAGGGGTGCCAAGCAGGAGAGGCCCCTGAGCAGTACTCGATGAAGAAGGTACTCTCTGGAGAGAGAGCAGGAGCAGCATCGCTGGCGATGCTGAGAAGAGGTATATAACCATGCTTTCTCATCAATAGGTCGAGTGGATCCTCATCCACTCTACTCACCATAACTAGTTATCACTTCAGCATAAGTATACATTAGTTTCAGTCAGCATAGCAGCAATCTATCAAGGTTGCTCCTCATCGTAGTGTGTGTGTTGTATCACCACTACCTGACGTCCGAAGGCACCCATAGCAGGTTAGCGGTCCGGATATAGATAGAACCGAAGGCAGTAGTCCACTGCGGTCCGGGGATCACTTCAAAGCATCAAGTCAACACACTGGACACTCGTGTTGACGCCACCAACCTTATCACCAACACCATCAACCTCATTATCATTGACATCACCAATCTTATCATCAACACCATCAACCTCATTATCATCGACATCACCAATCTCATCACCAACACCATCAACCTCATCATCATCAACACCCACACCAGACCTTGGTGTCACCATAACATTGGTATTGATCGTGCCGAGCTACCCCTGAACGGAGTGTCCACAGAGGTCAGCCGAAACCTACGATAGCATATACAACAAACGCCACCTGCTGTCACTGCACAACTTGATAGTCACCGATACCAAGACAATAGCTGTCACACAGTTTGATAGTCACCGAGTATCTCGACAGACCGACCTGGGTTTCAGGCGCGAGACCCCTGACATTAGAGTGGATCGTTCAAGCAGCTCCTCACAATCACCATGACGGACCCAGACCTCAACAATAAGCTCGATAGACTACTCACTCTATTGGAAGCACAGCTAGAGCTTACCAGACAGGGTCATCAAGAGGAACGATTACAACAAGCTCAACTGAGCAGGGAGGAGACAATGGACCTCTCTCACTCAGAAGACCAAGCAGGAGGAGGAGATGAGTCTATGATAGGAGACCCACATACTCCTACTCTGGCTCCACGACCAAGACGATCAGTCTCATTCAACCTGGATGAGCAGGAGGACATCAACTACGAGAAGTATGCTTCACTTACTGGGCCAAGATATGTCAAGACTAAGCTGGACCCCTACAGCAGGACTAGGATGGACCCTTACCCCCTGGACCACGAGGAGGATACCAGCATCATGGCAGAGCTTAACCGGTCAAAGCCCATCACCACCCCCTTTCCAAAGTTCAATCCCCGAGACATGGAGATCTTCATTCTAGAAGCCGAAGCATGGTTTAAGTTCAACCAGGTGTATGAGCAGTCTAGGATGATCAATCACATGGGTGCTCAACTGGAAGGGACAGCAAGAGAGTGGTGGACCTCCAAGCTCCGTATTGATAGAGCTAGAGAAGGAAGGTTGTTCAATGATTGGCACTACTTCACAGAGCGACTGTCAGAGCAGTTCAACCCACGCAATGCTAGGATGGAGGCATACAACAAGCTGTTGGCTCTCAGACTCACAAGTGATGCTCCTGGTGCCGCCACATGTCATGTAGAGCGGTTCAGAGACTTGGAAGGACAGGTCAACCTAGATGACAATGAGCTAGTGATTGATCTCTTCAGAGGTAGTCTCACTCGTAGCATACAGGAGAAGTTCGAGAGGAATCCACCTGGGAAGAGATGGGAGTGGTATCGAGAGGTCGAGGAGATCGATCGACAGAGGATGCTACTACAGCAGTCCTCAGCTAGACACTCACTTCCAAATGCCACGTCACCTCCACTAAGAACTGGGTCTCGGCCAAATCAAAGTTCAATCCCCATCCGACAACCCACTCAACCTTATCCAGCTCGATCACCATCACAAGCAACTACACAAGCAACTATACAAAACCTAAACCGACCCCTTCCTCATCATCCCACCCAACCCTCGAAGCAAGGAAGCCCTGCTCCATCAGGTATCAACACCTGTCATGTATGCAAGGGTATCGGCCATTGGGCCAGAGACTGCCCCAGCAGGAGGGTAAACCCTCTTAGCTCTCGACCCATGGGACCAAAGGTTATGGTCACCACAGCAGACCCCTTCGAGGAGGCCACCGACTCAGGAGATGGCCACACAGGCAGTACTGAGACGGGTGACCCCGAGGCCATGGACCTCAGCTCATACCAGCAACCCATGGACCCCGATCACGAGGAGGAGCACGATGATGATGACGATGAGGGAAACGTCAGTGGGGTGATGCACTGATGGCATGCATTGCTCTACAAACCTCCTCGCCATCACTCTGTATATATCAAGATTGTCAAGTATGTTTCTCTACCAGTGGAGGCAAAGCAGTACTGGAGCTCTCTGGAATGGTTCAAGACCATCCTGCTCGGATACTAGCTGATACCGGTGCTGGTTTGTCCATAGACTCAGATTCTTTCATTAGTAAGTACCAAATACCCACAAAACCCATAAAAACAAGATCGATCCATGGTGTCACCGGGCACCAACTCTCCATCAATAGTTCTGCGAGCATGCAGGTATCTATTGGTACACACAATCTGGGTGTGGTCGAAGCTTCAGTGGCTGACACTGCGGACTATGACCTCATCCTGGGGTTCACTGAGCTATGGAGGCTCAAACCCACCATACAATGGGATACGGGCCAGCTGGAGTTCAAGACTCAGGAGCAGGACCGACCCCCTAGGAGACCCCCTGAAGCAGCAAGAGCAGGGGACCTAACCATGAGGAGACCAACCCTTCATGGTAACGAGTTTGTCTCAGCAGAGCGCATACTACGAGCAGCTCTGGAAGATGGACCCATAGGGTTCATGCTGTTAGAGGAGCCACCATCATCACTCCCGGCCTTTGGTTTTGTACCTACAGGCGCAGACAAAGGAGTCGAGATGGAGGTGGAGGTAGATAAGGTGGTGACGGCTGCAGACATACCAAAGCCATACCAACACCTGCGAGATGTGTTTGATGAGGTGGAAGCAGACAAGCTGCCCCATCATACCGAGCATGATCTCCACCTCGAGTTGATAGAAGGAGGTAAGCCACCTCAAGGGCCCCTATACCTTAAGGGACCCAAGGAGATGTCCGAGTTGAGGAGATACTTGGATGAGAACCTCGAGAAGGGGTTCATAAGACCATCGAAGAGCCCGGCACGATCACCAGTGCTCTTCGTACCAAAGAAGGATGGAGGTCTCAGACTCTGTGTGGACTACAGAGGTCTCAACGAGATCACTGTCAAGAACAGGGCACCATTGCCCCTCATCGAGGAGCAGCTGTTCTTACTCAGGAAGGCAAGGATCTATACCAAGCTAGACCTTAGAGCAGCATACAACCTCATCCGGATTGCTAAAGGAGATGAATGGAAGACAGCTTTTGGCACTCAGTTGGGACTCTATGAGTACCTAGTGATGCCCTTTGGCCTAGCCAATGCTCCGGCTCACTTCCAGTCATTCATCAATGACATCTTCCGAGACATCATTGGAGTATATGTAGTGGTATACTTAGATGACTTCCTGATCTTCAGTGACACTGAAGAGGTACATGTGAAGCATGTCACCGAGGTCCTCACTCGCTTAAGGAGCAACAGGCTCTTTGCTAAGCTGTCGAAGTGTGAGTTCCACACCAAGACAGTCGAGTTCCTGGGGTACATCATCAAGCCAACGGGCATAGAGATGGACCCAGAAAAGGTGCGCACTGTCAAGGAGTGGCCAATGCCAGAGTCAATCCATGACATCCAGAGGTTCCTGGGTTTTGCCAACTTCTATCGAAGGTTCATAGCCCACTTTGCTTGCATAGCCAAGCCCTTGACAGCACTGGTAAAGCCTATAGAACGGTTCAAGAAGTTCGAGCTACCAGAGGAGGCCCAACAGGCCTTCCACAAGCTCATCCAGGCCTTCACATCAGCAGGAGTGCTTCAGCACTTCGACTACCACCTTCCAACAAGGTTGGAGACTGATGCAAGTGACTTTGCTATAGCAGGAGTGCTCAAGCAGGAGCATGAAGGACGATGGCATCCAGTGGCCTTCTACTCTAGGAAGATGTCTTCTGCCGAGAAGAACTATGAGATCCATGATAAGGAGCTCCTAGCTGTGGTCGCCTGCCTCACTCAGTGGCGACACATGCTAGCTGGACTACCGAACCAACTGGTCATCCTCACTGACCATGAAGCCCTCAAGTACTTCAAGTCACAGAGACGCATCACAGGTCGACAAGCTCGATGGGCAATACTACTAGCAGACTTCGACTTCATATTGCAGTATCGACCAGGAGACAAAGGTGGTGAACCCGATGCTCTCACCAGAAGGACAGACATGCAACCAGCCGGTGAAGAGCAGGATCACAATGTGAGGCAACTACTGCCTCCTCGAGTGTTCAAGGAGACAGCAGACCATGATTCGCTCCTAGTGGCCCCCATGATCTCGATGGAGTCCATAGCATCAAAAGGTCTCAAAGACCTGGTCCAGATCTTCCAGCCCTTAGACCAAGAGCTACAGGAGATACATAGGAAGAAGCCCTTCGAGGTCAGGGATGACCTATGGTACAGTGGAGGAAGGTTGGTTATCCCCAAAGTGATCATGCCAGGGAGGACCAACAACCGACACTCAAGGAGTGCCAAAGAGGTAGATGGACAGTCTCTCTCTGTAGAGCATCTGCGATTCATGGTGATGACCCAATGCCATGATGGTATCACTGCTGGACACATAGGAAGAGATGCTACCATCAAGGCAGCACAACGACATTACTGGTGGCCAAACATGACAGCTTGGATTGCAGACTATGTAGCAAGTTGTCCTGTATGTGCTAGGTACAAAGCTCCTCGTCATCGTCCATATGGTTTGCTACAGCCACTAGCAACCCCAGACAGGCCCTGGGGCTCCATATCCCTCGACTTCATCGAAGGACTACCAACATCGAAGAAGTATGACTCCAAGACCTATGACTCTATCTTAGTCATTGTCGACAGGCTAACCAAGTTTGCCATACTAGCTCCAACCCATAAGACAGTCACGGCCAAACAGACTGCAGTATTGCTATATGGACACATGGTTAGACTCTTTGGATATCCAGATCACATGGTCTCAGACCGAGGCAGGCAGTTCATATCAGGAGCATGGAAGGCATTTGCAGAGCAAATGGGTGTGAAGCACTCACTTAGTACGGCTTACCATCCTCAAACTGATGGTCAGACAGAGAGAGTCAATCAGGTCATAGAGCAATACCTCAGGATGTACTGCAACTATGAACAGGATGACTGGGCCAACCTGCTGGACACTGCAGCCTTTGTATACAACAACATGGTCCACAACAGCATTGGTGTCTCACCATTCTTTGCATGCTATGGATGGAACCCCAAAGCTCATCCTGACATCCCTCAACGACTAGGAGTCAATGATCCAGGTCGCTTCGAGTACCTCATGGATGGAAAGGAGCGTTGCAAGTACCTCCAGGAGCAGATCAGAGAGGCACAACGGAGATCAGTAGACCAGTATAACAGGAAGCACAAGGACATTGAGTTTAAGGTGGGTGATATGGTCTATATCAACCGCCGAAACTGGAAGACACGGAGACCCACACCCAAGTTGGATACCCGGTTTGCAGGACCCTACCCAGTTCAGGAACGGGTAGGACGCCGAGCTTACCGAATCACATTGCCAGCAAACCTTAGGGTGCATGATGTGTTCCATGTCTCCATGCTCGAGCCAGCAAGAACAAGTTCTCTTCCTCAACGTGCTGAACAGCCCACCATGCCACCACTTCCAGATGAGGACCTCGACTTCGAAGTCGAAGCACTCATCGACAAGCGTTCACACAACGGGACTACAGAGTACAAGGTGTTGTGGAGAGGGTACTCAGAAGAAGCTGCTTCATGGGAACCAGTAGAGAACCTCAACTGTCCCGACCTCATCCAGGAGTATGAGGTGTCGGAGGGGGGACGAGTAAGTAGACAAAGTAGAGAAAGGAGGAGAGAACAGGAGGAGTAGAGAGAGGAGGATGACGTTGAGAGAAGGAGGAAGGATGATGGGGGCGATGTTGTCAAGGAAGAGGAGGAGTCAGCATGAACCAGACCAGAGCATGCCTCGACGGAGCTCGGCTCTTAAGAGGGGGGTAGTGTCATGGGCCTGGATGCTCAAGAAGCAGGAGGGTCACTGGTTCATATGGAAGGAGCACAGGTATCGAAGATCTAGTCGACACCAGTAGAGAGCATGGTCATAGTGCAGTCTCCATGGAGACCATGGACTCCTATGGACTCACATGCAAAGGAGGGCCAAGCACAGCCACGAGGAGGACCAAGCTCAAGGAGCAGGCACAGCCACGAGGAGGACCAAGCTCAAGGAGCAGGCACAGCCACAAAGAGGACCAAGCTCAAGGAGCATGCAGATGGTTACCACTCAGGGGCTCGAGAGACAAGAGCCAAAGGAACTGTCACTGATCAAAGGAGGAGGAGCAGTGTCGAAGGAGTCGACACCAGGTCATGAGGAGGAGGAGCAGTGTCGAAGGAGTCGACACAGCTCAAGAGGCACAGGGGTGCCAAGCAGGAGAGGCCCCTGAGCAGTACTCGATGAAGAAGGTACTCTCTGGAGAGAGAGCAGGAGCAGCATCGCTGACGATGCTGAGAAGAGGTATATAACCATGCTTTCTCATCAATAGGTCGAGTGGATCCTCATCCACTCTACTCACCATAACTAGTTATCACTTCAGCATAAGTATACATTAGTTTCAGTCAGCATAGCAGCAATCTATCAAGGTTGCTCCTCATCGTAGTGTGTGTGTTGTATCACCACTACCTGACGTCCGAAGGCACCCATAGCAGGTTAGCGGTCCGGATATAGATAGAACCGAAGGCAGTAGTCCACTGCGGTCCGGGGATCACTTCAAAGCATCAAGTCAACACACTGGACACTCGTGTTGACGCCACCAACCTTATCACCAACACCATCAACCTCATTATCATTGACATCACCAATCTTATCATCAACACCATCAACCTCATTATCATCGACATCACCAATCTCATCACCAACACCATCAACCTCATCATCATCAACACTCACACCAGACCTTGGTGTCATCATAACATTGATATTGATCGTGCTGAGCTACCCCTGAACGGAGTGTCCACAGAGGTCAGCCGAAACCTACGATAGCATATACAACAAACGCCACCTGCTGTCACTGCACAACTTGATAGTCACCGATACCAAGACAATAGCTGTCACACAGTTTGATAGTCACCGAGTATCTCGACAGACCGACCTGGGTTTCAGGCGCGAGACCCCTGACAGTCTGGGTCTGTCATGGTGATTGTGAGGAGCTGCTTGAACGATCCACTCTAATGTCAGGGGTCTCGCGCCTGAAACCCAGGTCAGTCTGTCGAGATACTCGGTGACTATCAAACTGTGTGACAGCTATTGTCTCGGTATCAGTGACTATCAAGTTGTGCAGTGACAGCAGGTGGCGTTCGTTGTATATACTATCATAGGTTTCAGCTGACCTCTGTGGACACTCCATTCAGGGGTAGCTCAGCACGATCAATATCAATGTTATGATGACACCAAGGTCTGGTGTGAGTGTTGATGATGATGAGGTTGATGGTGTTGGTGATGAGATTGGTGATGTCGATGATAATGAGGTTGATGGTGTTGGTGATAAGGTTGGTGGCGTCAACACGAGTGTCCAGTGTGTTGACTTGATGCTTGAAGTGATCCCCGGACCGCAGTGGACTACTGCCTTCAGTTCTATCTTGATCCGGACCGCTAACCTGCTATGGGTGCCTTCGGACGTCAGGTAGTGGTGATACAACACACACACTACGATGAGGAGCAACCTTTGATGGATTGCTGCTATGCTGACTGAAACTAATACATACTTATGCTGAAGTGATAACTAGTTATGGTGAGTAGAGTGGATGAGGATCCACTCGACCTATTGATGATGAGAAAGCATGGTTATATACCTCTTCTCAGCATCGCCAGCGATGCTGCTCCTGCTCTCTCTCCAAAGAGTACCTTCTTCATCGAGTACTGCTCAGGGGCCTCTCCTGCTTGGCACCCCTGTGCCTCTTGAGCTGTGTTGACTCCTTCGACACTGCTCCTCCTCCTCATGACCTGGTGTTGACTCCTTCGACACTGCTCCTTCTCCTTTGATCAGTGAAAGTTCCTTTGGCTCTTGTCTCTCGAGCCCCTGAGTGGTAACCATCTGCATGCTCCTTGAGCTTGGTCCTCTTCGTGGCTGTGCCTGCTCCTTGAGCTTGGTCCTCTTCATGGCTGTGCCTGCTCCTTGAGCTTGGTCCTCTTCGTGGCTGTGCCTGCTCCTTGAGCTTGGTCCTCCTCATGGCTGTGCTTGGCCCTCCTTTGCATGTGAGTCCATAGGAGTCCATGGTCTCCATGGAGACTGCACTACGACCATGCTCTCTACTGATCTCAACTAGATCTTTGATACCTGTGCTCCTTCCATATGAACCTGTGACCCTCCTGCTTCTTGAGCATCCAGGCCCATGACACGTTGCTCTCAAACAGTGTGTTGTTCTCGAGCAGTGCGTTGCTCTTGAGCTGTGTGTTGCTCTCGAACAGTGCGTTGCTCTCGAGCTGTGCGCTGCTCAGATTGTGTTGCTCCAGCAGAGTGTGTGTTGCTCCAGCTGTGAGTGCATTGCTCCAGCTGTGAGTGCGTTGCTCCAGCTGTGAGTGCGTTGCTCTCGAACAGTGCATTGCTCTCAAGCAGTGCGTTGCTCTTGAGCTGTGTGTTGCTCTCAAACAGTGCGTTGCTCTCGAGCTGTGCGCTGCTCAGATTGTGTTGCTCCAGCAGAGTGTGTGTTGCTCCAGCTGTGAGTGCGTTGCTCCAGCTGTGAGTGCGTTGCTCTCGAACAGTGCATTGCTCTCAAGCAGTGCGTTGCTCTTGAGCTGTGTGTTGCTCTCAAACAGTGCGTTGCTCTCGAGCTGTGCGCTGCTCAGATTGTGTTGCTCCAGCAGAGTGTGCATTGCTCCAGCTGTGAGTGCATTGCTCCAGCTGTGCATTGCTCAATTTGCACTGCTCCAGCAAAAATAAATTTGTTTGCATTGCGGCACTTGAGCAGTGTAAATTTCGAGTGCATTGGGGGTCAACACAGTTGCATGAATTTCAAATTTGGCAGAGCGCAATTGTGCGTTGCCCGCAAGCAAGACACACCGGCTAGGGCTAGGGTTGTTGGGCTCATAACCTGTTGGAGTTTGATGGTGTTTGGGTCCTGATACTGGCGATTGGGGATAGTCTAAGTATGATGTCACTACTCTTTTAAGGCAGAAACATATACTAAATTGACTGAAGGAATGTGGTGAGAGCCTAGTGCTCTCTGTGAGGTATATATACATGTGAGCAGCACATGCCAGATGTGGAAGTTGCCATATCTAATGATTTAGCCTGACAATGAGTGGAACTTCATTGTTCCCAATTTCCAGTGAAATCAGTTTGTCCTCGATCTCTGATCAGATCAGTCCTCTGACCAGATCGGCTCTCCCTGATCTCCGATTGGATCGGTTCAGCGTCACTCTTTAACATCTCACTGGATCGTAATCTTCAACAGCGTCAAGCCAGAAAGAATCGAGACCCTTTGATTCACTCAATAGGGGGTTTCAGTTTTTTTTTGCCCTCGAAAACTAGAGTCTTCCAATAGTGAAAAAAGGCCAGAAAATTGATGCCCCCAAATGTAACCTGTGTTTTTAGAGGGTTATTTTTTGAAGCCAACAAAGGGAGGGTAGTGTCAGCTGGAACATGAAGTGTCAGCCAGAAAATGAAGCAGTTCTGAAATCCAAACCACCTGTTCTGGAATCCAAACCACCTTGTAGCTCCACCATCTTTGACACTCTTGTCACACAATCCAAGTATATACAGTCATCATTGACACCATGGGTTCATGCAAAACAAGCTGTGCAGGAAAAGTGGAGGCATTTGTGCAAGTAGATCACATGCAACATCACATGAGTGAAAATTAAAGTCCAATTCTGAAAACTCTGCTGCATTGGTACTGCTGAGGCAGTGTTTTCAAAAACTAGGGTATTTTCCAAAATGGCAGAGCTTACGTAAGTAATGAATATTCAACGCAAGTGAAAACTCAAAAAAAAAAAACTTGAGTTTCCAAAAAGAAAAAAGAAACTAAAACCCCCTAATTGCGTCCATGCTGCCCAGTTGTCACACAGACGTACGCCGGGTGCTTTCCTCGTTGGATCACACTTCTGATCGATTCACCGCCTTACGACAGGACAGGCTGGGAGCACTCAAGGAGTAAAGGGAAGTTCATGATGCATTAGAAAGGTCATTACAAGTTCGTATTATATATGAGTGCTGCTTGCACTATTGACTCTATGCTTTGATGCGAAGCGACCCGATCTCTGGCAACTCTTGGACACTGGCTAGAGCTGCCTCAATCTGTACGCCGGTAATTGGAGCATTGGTCGTGTGGTTCAGGTCAGCAAGAACTTTGCCGCTCTTAGCAGATGCAATGCTGGACGCTCGTGAGTGGCGAGGACTGAGGTCGTGAGGGATCTTCTCCGTCCTTGCAGCTTGGATAGCGGCCATTTGTGATGGACTCAAGTTGCGCTTGGGCGGAACAGGCTGCTGCGGTGGAGGGCTGTTGCCGAGCACTGCAACTTGAGCGATGGAGGCCTCAGCGACGACAGACTGTTTCTTCTTAAAGACGTGTCGTTTTGGGGCACCTGCTGGGTCGGTCAAGGACACGAGACTAGGTGCTATCGCGGGCTCGACATCTGCCATGGCTGCTGGCATAGCTGAGAATGACTTGGTACCCTGTGCAGGCGTTTCGGCGCTCGGTCCATCGAGCGGATAGTCCCAGGGCCGCGGCACAAGAGCGAGCGGCATGAACCAGGTTCCAGCAATGCAGACACCGTGACCTTGATCTTGCGCCTGAATTGCCTTGTACTCAACCTCCATGAACATCGAGATGTACTTGATGAAGGGCAAAAGCTCCGGAACACCTCCACCTACCGCCATGGTCTGCAAGAATGACAGGAAAGCGCCAGAGACTGAGTGTGCTGTGCCCAGATAAGCTATCGATGCCTTGGGAAGCGTGATCTCGAAGCCCCACCAATGAATAAAGATGGCCATGCGATCCAGTGGTGGGTGAATCGAGTCCATGTCCTGGGTTGCTCGAATTGCAGCACCGGAGACATTGGCGAGAACATCGAAGGCACCAGAGTTCTGAGCCGCTGTGCCGACGGGATCCATCAGCAGCTGCAATGGTGTCGATCCCATTAGACGCTGTCCGTCCTGAAGTGTAGGCAAGTTGGCCATCGACAAGCTCTTGAGCATGGGGCGCCTAGCACTCGATGACACATTCTTTACAGCTGCGGCGGATGGCTCATCTGGAGACGTCACAGCAGAGCGGGTAGCGAGCAAGCCACCGACACCGGCGAGAGCGGCAGCGGCACCAGTAGCAATGGAGGCAACACCGAATGCACCATTCCCGTCCGCCGAATTGGTGTTAGCTTCGCTTGTCACGACTGTGGCAGCATCCAGGTGTTGAGCGTGCCTTTGATGCGCTTCGCGTTCATCGCAGTCGAGACAAACCATCTTGAGAGGGCGAGCTCCTGACGCACCAGTCGCAGCCTTGGTCACTGGAGTTGACTGTGCTGGAATGGGTGATGACGCAGCGCTCGCACACCTGTCGTCAGCAAAAGGCGGAAGCGAAGAGGTGCGTGCGGTGACGAGAGCTTTCTGAGGCGGAGCGCTTGCTTCAGCCTGTAGGGTGATCTTGCGGAGAGCCTCTTCGGCCGCCGATTTGGCTTTTCGCCCAAGAGGAGGCCGTTCGCGTGCAGTCGACGCAGCTGCTGCAGCAGGGCCAAGAGCCTCAGGGGTGGCGCCGGGCCTCTTGCGGATCTCGCTGTCATCCTTGCTGTCGTTTCCTTCTAGCGCGGCGTCCGGAAGACTGGCTACAAGGATGCGTTCCTCACCATGCTCTCCCGCGGTGCCAATGTGAACGTCGGGAACAATCTTGCCCAGACCGCTGCGAAGAGCGTCAAGAGGGACCGGCATATTTCGGAGCTCGCTGATGATATTGTTGGCCAAGTCGACATCGAGCAAAGCTGATTTGAGCCCTCTCAATTGTGAGCGATCGACGACCGGAATTGGCTTTGCTCGAGGAACGTTTGCCTTGTTGCCGCCTTTGGCTGTTACTTGTTGGGCAGCAGCAGCAGAACTGCTAGGCGGCAGAACAGGATGAAGGCCCATACCTGCATTGATGACTTGCTCTAGTGTCTTGGCGTGACGAGCAGCGAGGGCCTGATGCTTGGTGACTTTGACCTTGGCCACTTTGCCCTTGTCGCTGACTCCCGAGTGGTGAATGCCCTTCCTGTCCCACCGGAATAGTCGACGCTTAGCTGCGGCTGCTCCTGGAAGTGCAGCACGGTCTTCGAAGCGTTCGGAGGTGCTCGAGCTGGCAGCCGATGAGACGGTGAGCGTCGAGTCCATGCTCACCCTACGTGAAGTATTGGTGAGGTCTGATGTCGATTTGGACTTGAAAGCTCTCCACTTGCTCGTCTTTGCTTTCGACTTGCCCTTGGCCTTGGACTTGGATGGATGCTGTGGATGTCGTTCTTCATCGACCCTGTCTGCCTTGGTTTCGGCGTTCTGGCCGAGAGTAGCAAATGCCAGAGATTGTTCGCGTAGGTCGGCGACCTCTTCGGTAGAAGGACTGAAGCTGACGCGGTGTGGTGAAGTAGTTCTAGATGGGCGCTGAGCAGAGGCAAGCGATGAGGGTTTGGGTCGAAGCTCGTTGGGTGGTGCCAGCTGCTGTGTTGCAGGAGAGTCATGCTCCGTGGATGTTGTTGTTGTAGCTGCAATCGGTGCATCAGTGATTGGAGAGGGGTGCGTCCCGGAAACTGGCTTTGGTTCGCTGAGATTCGCTGTTGTGGTCAGCACGGCTGGGCCAGCGTCTTGAAGATGATCGGAGTCAGCTTTGGATATCCAGGTGGTAACGCTTGCTTTGCGAGGAGACGAGACAAAAGGGATGCGGAGAGCATCCAAGCTGAATCTATTCTTTCCATGTGCGGATGCTTCGTTGGTGTTGGTAGAAGCTGCAGGTGGCTTCGATGGAGCCAACGACGTTGGCACTTGTTGAAAGTCAGAGCTGGACTCTGCTGTGGTGTCAGACATGATCGATATGGCCGAATTTGCAGTGGAGTGGATTGAGGGTATCGATATCGTGTGCTGGAGAGGATTCAAGACCGAGTTTGGCTGTTTTGACTTGTCTCTCTTACGTTCCAGAAGAGTGTCACTGTGGGACTATGCCGTTGATGCCTGAGCCAAGGTCGGTATATGCATCTGTGATAGGAGCAGAGACAGTTGGGAAATGCAAACAGGCTAAGCGGAACTCCTTGCCGAAATGGCAGCGCAAGGAGGGAGGGCGATTGGTTCGGAGAGGGCGTGCAGATGCCTCGAGAACAGATGGTCCAGGCTCCGGTGTTAGCGTCAGGGGTCTGAGATGGGTTGGGGTTTGAATGAGCTGGTGATGTTGCAAGCAGGGATGGTGGAGGAGGTAGGCAGTGATTTCCTCGCTCTGTTCTTAGGCGCCGAATGAGGACAAGTTGAACGCTGTGCAGTTCGGATCGGTTGCAGCGTTCTGACGGCTAACTTTAGCCAAGAGCAAGTTCACACGTTCCCGCCCCTCTTTTCGACGGCCCCACTTCGGCCCCGGATGAGGCTGCAGCAGACAGATCTTTGCTGCTAAGCCTAAGTTGGAATTGAAGATTGCAAGTAAAACGCCGCCAATCGGAGCTACTAGCAAGCTCAACTTCACAGGTGTATAACTTCAAGAAAAATGCTTATTATTTCTATTTGTGAGTGCTACAACACGAGCATGTATATATACTTGATTGTCATCCTTAACACCTGCTATGTTGTAATGAACTCTTCTTTCATATGGCCCCCTGTGTTGTCACTTTCTAGTCATTGCCTCTCCCTGAGTGTTATGGTTGTATCATTTATACATCCCACATGCACATCAATGCATGTCGATATGCAACTCTGACTCACTATTATCTAACTTGAACTCCGTGGACCCCGTAATTCATGTTAGGATGCTGATGCATCTTCAACTCCCTCCCTCAATGGCATCATCAACCCTATCAGATGCACAATCCGAGATGTGGCCAGACCTTTTAACAGTTTTGTGAGGATATCTGTGATGTTGTCTGCTGTCACAACAAAATTGATTTTGACTTCTCCCTCCTGAATGTGATCTCTGACAAAGTGATATCTTGTGTCAATGTGCTTCAATTTCCAATGCTTCACAGGGTCTTTGCTTACCTGGATACATCCTTGGCTGTCTGTCCATAGTGTTGGTGGCTGAGTCTCAATTCCCAGGTCCCTGAGGAGGTATGAGAAGAAGAGGGCCTCTCTCATTGCTTCTGAGGCAGCTACAAACTCAGCTTCTACTGCTGACAGTGCTATGCACTTTTGAACATGTGACCTCCAACTAACCAGACATCCATATATATATGTTACTCCTCCTGATGTGCTCCTTCGTCTGTTCATTGGGTCCGATGCCCAATTCACATCAGTATATGTGATGATATGTTGTTCCAAATGTTTGTTCATTCCATCTCTGAAAACTAGCTTGTACTTGCTGGTTTGATTGAGGTACTTTACCAAGTGTAGTGCTGCCTTCCATGCATTGCTCGTTGGGCTTGACATGTATCTTGCAAGTGCTCCTATGGTAAATGATATGTCAGGCCATGCAGTGTTGGACACCCATAAAAGTTGTCCAACCAGTTCTTGGTACTGCTTTGCCACTAATGGGTCACACTTGTCGCCACCTGTAATACCTGTTAGGCTCTGCATTGGTATCCATGACTTCTGATCAGTTGTTTGTAGCCATTTTCTCACCATAGCCTTAATATAAGCCATTAAGTTGAGTGTCATCCTCTTTTGTACCCTGTCTTGGTCTATGCTTATGCCTAGGAACTCCTTCATGGGTCCTTTATCCTCCATTCTCCACTTTGCCATTATCTCATTTTTAGTGCAATCTACTTCTGTACAACTGGGTGTTGCTATGAGCATGTCATCCACATATGCTGTGATGATTGTCATGCTATTGCCTGTTCCTCTTGAGTATAAGCATGGGGTGCTTGGCATGCAGTGGAAACCTATTCTTTGTAGGTGTGAGTCTAGCTCTACATTCCATTCTCTACCTGATTGTTTTAAACCATATAGTCCTTTCACTAGTTTTAGGGCCTTTCCAGAGGAAACCTTCATCCCAAGTGGTGGTTTCAAGAAAATGTCATGATGCAGCATTGAGTTCAGGTATGCCTGCTTAACATTGACACAATCTACTTCCCAGTCTCATACAGTTGCCATAGCCAAAACTTCTCGAATTGACTGGATAGGTGCTACAGGAGTGAAAACCTCCATATAGTCAATACCCTCTCTTTGAGTGAAGCCCTGTGCCACTAACCTTGCCTTGAACTTGGTTGGGATCAAGTTCACATCCATCTTGATCTTTAACACCCAATGCATGTTGACAGTAGTCATGCCCTTTGGGAGATCAGTGACTTCCCACATGCCCATGGCTTTAAGTCTGTCCAGCTCCTTATGCATCGCTTCCTCCCAGTGTTTCTTATCTTCTCTGGATAGTGCCTCGCTAATGGTTGGATCCATGTTCTTCCTTTTGTTGTCGCTGATCGCTGTAAATCCAGAAAGTTTATCATTATTCCATCTATCAGCAATGGGGTTGTGTTCAATCATTTCCTTGGCAACTTCATTTGAGATCTGTCCCTGGTCCATTTCATCGACATTCTCCATGTCCATGTATTCCTGCAATGGTTCCTTTTCCCTCTCATCAAAAAGGTTCTCATCTGTGTATCTTAGATCATTGAAGTTTTCCTCATTTGCTAGTGCTGGTGGTGACTGTGCAGTCACTGGTCACCACTCCATCCTGTTGGACCAGCACTTGGTCTCCATGAACCTTGCTGAATTACTCCAGAATATGTTTGGGCTGTAATCTGGGCTGTAGAAGAGCCAACCTCTCCTTTCTAAACTATATCCTAGGAATATGGATGCTATGGCCCGTTGGTCGAGCTTCTTATTATCTCTTTTAGCTTTAGGAATGTTTACCCATGATAAACATCCAAACACATGTAGAAGTTTCATAAGCTGTTTTGGCAATCTTCCAAACATAGCCTGATATGGGAGATCACCATCTACACTTGGGGTGAGATTCATCTTGAACACTGCAGCCCTTATTGCATATGGCCAAAACCTTTTCAGCAATTGTCTCTGCATGAGTAGAGCCCACATTCTCTCACCTAAACTCCTATTCATCCTTTCAACACATCCATTCTGTCTGCTATCATAACCTACTGTCATTTGCCACTCTATACCTTTGTCATGTGCCCATTCATGGGCATTGTTACTCCTCCATTCAGTACCTTGATCAGACTGTATTGCTTTCAGGCTCTTTCCTGTCTGTGTTTCAAGGTATGCTACTATTGATTTTAGCTCCTTAAAAGTGTGGCTCTTCCATAGTAGAGGTCATATGTATATGTACTTGCTGTAATCATCAACCAACACCAGAGTGCACATATGCTCTGTTGCATGTGATGAATCAACTATCAAGTCAATATGGATGAGATCAAGTGGAGAACAAGACCTCTCTCCACCACCCTGGCCCATCCAAGCTGCCATACTTTTGGATCGGATGCATTGCTCACATGTCAAAGTGGCATTTGGGTTCAGGCTTACTGGGTGATCACCTTTTAGGTGATTAATGATGGCTCTTGTCTTGTCTTGGCCTGGATGCCCCAGATGCTCATGCCATAATTGTTGTTTGGATATCTGGGGTTTGTTTTCAATACACTCAAAATCATCATCAACACCTTCAAATAATGATGTTGATGTGATCATTGCATTTTCCTGCCATGTATTGCCTCAGAACTCCAGAAGTCCTTGCTTGCAATTCTTGATCATTTTGAGTAACATGCCATTTGCTAGATATATTTGTCCTCTGGTTGAGTCTAGTGTCACTCGTGCTCCTTCATTTGTCAGGGAATTTGTTGACAACAAGTTAACATTGAGATGCTGGACATACAATACATTTTGAAGAAAGATATCTCTGGTGTTTGTTGATATGCTAGCATCTCCTATAGTGGTGGCTTCTAGAACCTTGCTTCCAGCAGTGAGTATGTGCTTTCAGCAGGTTTTTGGACCAATGAGCATGCTATAGTTGTTTACCATGTGGTAGCTGGTGCCCAAGTCTAAGATCCAATGAGAGGTCTCTTTGGAATCTATGGGCCTCTGCCAGCTAGGTGTAAAGGAGCACCAGACTTCCTATTTGGGCCTGGCAAAAGGAGAATTCTCTGGTATAGTCACCAATGCATCACATTGACTGATCCCATGTCCAGGCCTCTTGCAGATCCAACATCAGAGCCTTCGGGGTCTTGCGGCAACCTTGGTGCTGGTGCTATCAGTGTCCTTTTTGTCCTTCTTGTCCTTTCTGGGTGGTTCGTCCTGGTTGTCACTGCTGGCAACTCTGGCACTGGCTTGTTGGGGATCAACCCTCAGTGCAGGGTTGTTTTTGATCGCTGATTGCCAGATGGATAGGGTGGTGGTGAGGGTGCTAAAGCTGAGCTGGCTCACAGTGGTGATGGTCTCTTTGTACATTGGGTGTCGGATAGTACACTTTTGTAGATTAGAAAATAGAGTGTCATCGGCAAATGGCTTTCCCAGTAAGCTACTCTCTGTTTGGATGGTCCATATTTCTTGGATGAGCTTTTGTGCATCTGAATTGTACATCCTGAGCTCTCCTAGCTGAGTGATTAGTGCAATGCAACGAGATATGGTGGTAGCCTCATTGGTGAGTCCATTTTCAATCTTCTTCCATACATCATGGAACATATGGTGCTCCCTGATGATGTCAAGGATCAAGTAATTGATATTGAACTCTCCGGTGGTGTCAATGGTACTGTGTAGTGCATTTGTTAAGGCATCATCAAACATTCTGCTCCACTTCAGATGTTTCTTGTTGCATGCTCCATTGAGGTGCTTCATAGCATAGGGGACACATTGTAGGAAAGACTTGATATGGGCGCTCCAACTATAATAGTTGTGGGAAGTGAGTTTTGGGACAGGCTCAAGTAGTTTTGCTAGGGTACGAAAATTGTATTGTTTTCCATTGTCATCATGATCTGAGTCGGAGTCAGTTTCTTCCTCAGCATCATCATTGATCACCTCAGTGTCTGACTCATTGGTGGCCTTGTTGTCAACAGCTTGCAGTTGCATTATCTTTCCCTTTCTTCCTCCTTTGGCCTTGCTTGTGACATCTTGAGCTTCAGCCTCTTGTACCATGTTGTCAATGATCCTGGTTGGCTTAGTTGGTAGGGCTTCAGACTCTTAATCAATTGAAGATTGCAAGTAAAATGCCACCGATTGGAGCTACTAGCAAGCTCAACTTCACAGGTGTATAACTTCAAGAAAAATGCTTATCATTTCTATTTGTGAGTGCTACAACACAAGCATGTATATATACTTGATTGTCATCCTTAACACCTGCTATGTTGTAATGAACTCTTCTTTCATATGGCCCCCTGTGTTGTCACTTTCTAGTCGTTGCCTCTCCCTGAGTGTTATGGTTGTATCATTTATACATCCCACATGCACATCAATGCATGTCGATATGCAACTCTGACTCACTATTATCTAACTTGAACTCCATGGACCCTGTAATTCATGTTAGGATGCTGACGCATCTTCAACTGTTGGCCTCGGTGTTGGTCTCACTTCATCACAACCCCTGAACGCGTCCCTCTAAATACGGCCCTAAAGGATTTGTTTGCTGCTCCCACTCTAACAAATACGACAAAAATTTCGCCTCCACAAAGGTCAACCGTCGCCCAAATTTGGCCAAGTTGGACCCTTGCTGCTGCAGTCAGCATAATGGCTTCCTTGTGACACAAGAAGAAACGGCTATCATCAGCCCACGCCCGCTTTGAAGATCACATTGTCGAGCCGATGCTCTCATCTCATCAATGCCATCAACCTAGGCTTGTTCCTACCTCAACGATTAGCTTGTCCGCATCCTCCTATGGCAGCATGCGACCTTTGTGCTGATGGCGTAGTTCGTCGAGGTAGCCAACATGTCAACTTCTGGGCTAGCTTCTAAACGAGGTCCGAACGCATCCATATGGCCTATTCAGCTTTGCGACAAGGGTCCGTCCATCTCCAACCGTCAGCGATACAAATACGTGGCGATAGAGCAGCTCGACTTCGAACATGTTTCCTATTCCATCGACTTGCATTTCCTCGCTGACAAGCTTCTGCAGAGGGTTCACCTTCAAAATCACATACCCACTCAGCATCAAAATCTCTACAACAACACCAGCGCTGGATCCAAACGCAAACGCTCATCTTCTCCCGCCAATGGTGCGCCCATCTTGCAAGGCAATACGCCCAAGAGGTTCAAGCATGAAGAAGGCCATGCCGAGACCTCTCATCAAGTGGAGCTGGTCGAGACCTGTTGTCTCTTCAGTGTCAAGGCACGAGAGGCACATGATACTGACATCATTCTTGCACTCAAGCAGATGCCTGACCACCCTGAGCACTCTTGCCTCAATAACCTCGCATTCACAGTCATCTCGCATGCCGATCACCAGTGCCCAGACGACACCTTGATTGGAAACTTTATCCAACTCAGCGATCCGACAACTGGCGCGTGCATTGCAACCTTGCCGGTGCTCAAGGGACAGCAATACAACAACCGCCGTGGAAGGCTCACCAACGGCGATTGGCTTCTCTCCTTATCCAGCATGCTTTTGAGAGGCGCTGTTACCGCCAAGTTCGCTCTCTCGCTGGCTACGCCACCGTTGCAATACCCCTCTGACCGTATCACTGCCGGCTCCCTCTTTCTCCGGCTCTCCATCTCAGTTCGGGTCAACGTTTCAACGTCAACTGCATCGTCATCGCCGCTCCCATGCGACCGCATCTTAGACATGGCAACCATTGTGCGCTTTGCTGATCGCTTCCCTGATCCCGACGACTGGGACACGGGCGAAATCAACGACAGCTTCGTTTTGCACCATCTGCGACCAGCAACAATAGACTCAAACGCCCATGCTCTACAGCCCGCAGAGCTCAACCCCACTCTGCTTCCTTTCCAAAGGCGCTCAACCGCTTTCATGCTCGGTCGTGAAGGCATGATCTTCGACCCAAACGGAAAGCTTGTCCGAAGCAAGTCAGTAGTTGGTCACCAAGGGCAGCAACATCTTGGTCTTTGGTGGAAGAAGATTCAATCTCACCTCTACTACAACTGGACCGAAGCCCGCTTCGTACAGAATCCTGAGCTAACCCTTCGGTATGACTTCAAAGGCGCCATGCTTGCCGAGCAGATGGGTCTTGGGAAAACCGTCGAGGCTGTCGCACTCATCTTACTCAACCCTGATCCTGATGCCCACTCACGTCCCGCATGGCATGACGAGCGCAACGACATTCATGTCGTCCCGACCAAGACGACGCTCATCGTCGCGCCCGAGACGCTGCGAGCTCAATGGATCGAAGAGATCGAAAAGCATGCCCCGCATCTATCCGTCTATTCCTATCAAAGCAGGCAAAAGGTCGAGGAACAGGTTCCTGCCCGCCTGACCTGGGAACAATGGGCCCAAGACTTTGACGTCATGGTCATTTCCTACCGTATCTTATCTAGAGAGCTCGATACTGCCAAGAAGCCGCCTGATCGTTCTCGTCGCCACCAACGCAAGTATGAACGCCCTCGCAGTCCTCTCGTCAAACTTCACTTCCACCGCGTGCTCATGGATGAGGTGCAAATGGTAGGCCAATCGAATGCCGCTGAGATGGTCTCGATGATCTCGCGTGGCTCCTCGGTCGCTGTCTCCGGTACTCCGGTTAAGAAGTTAGATGACCTTAAATCATGCTTTCGCTTCCTTCGTGTCCCTGGCTACCATGCAACTTCATCGGAGTGGCAGGCCATTCTTCATCCCCTACTTGCTCCTGCACTCGTACGCGTTTTGCGCACCATTGCTACCCGCCACACCAAAGCTCAAGTCGCCTCCGAGATGTCATTGCCGCTACAGACGCGGCGCGTCATTCCGATTGACTTTACCTCGATAGAAGCCGCCTTCTACGCCGATATCTGGAAGGATGCCTTGCATGATATCCGCTACGGCTCAGAAGGCAGCCCGCGATCCAATGACCATCAGATCGACGTGGCCAAGATGCGCAATCAACTTCTACTCCTCCGTCAAGCTTGCACGCATCCTCAAGTCGCTCTCCAATTCCGTGGCGGTGTCGTGGGGTCAAGAAATCTGCGAAGCATCGACGAGGTGCTCGAGTTGATGATCGACTCTACTCGCACCGAGCTGCACAGCACCCGGACGCATTGGTTCGATCGTCGCGTCCATCGCAACATCCTCTCCCTCTACCGCCGTGACGAAGATACACGTCTCCTGGTAGCATCGCAGTTCCGCGATATCGAAGACGAGATCAACAAGAACATCCTCCGATTCGAGCAAGAGATTCGCAATGCTGCGATTCTTGGACCGCTCTATCGCTTCACCAACCTTGAACGGGAAATGGAGCAGAAGGCTGAAGCACGCACGAAACGCCTAGGCAGCAGCAACGGCAACGACGACGAAGACGGCGACCAGGCCTTGCAAGCGGTTGTTCAAGATCTTGAAGCCTACCAAGCCCTTCAACAGAAGCGCAAAGTCAGAACCAACCACATCATCCAGCTCAAAGCCTTGCTGCGATCCCTGCTCATGAAGCTGCACCGCCTTTTACAATTCGTCGGCAATACGTACTACCAGCGCGGCGAGTACCTCGATGAACAGCAAAAGCTGAAAGAGAAACGGAGCGAAGCCATCAAGGTCGAGAGCGAAAACGATGTCCGAGTGCGTTCTCTTCCTGCCAGTCAGCCTCCATCGACGGTCGATGCTGAGGGAGAACCTGTCTCTCCAGTTACCGATGACACTGATAATAACGAGAACGCCCTAGCCAGACCCGAGCCAGTCTTCATGAGCCCCGAGCGCCAATGCCTCAAAGATCAGGAGGACGTTGCTTACGCCAAGGCTGAGAAGGTTCGACAACGGCTCCTCGCAGAAGCTGGCGACGAGGTGCGAGCAGCCATCGCTAGGTTGGAGCGGGATCAAGTCAAAATCAGCTTGCAGTCGATCAAGGCGTCCAAGGACCTCTTCGAGTCTGGTGGAGGTATCCTAAGCACCGATTGCTACGAAAGACTGTCAGAGAATGTCGACCTGCTCAACGAGCACGCCCAAGTGCTCTTCCGCTGGAGGGAGAGTATCATCGATCGACTGGTGCGTCCTGTCAATCGCGACGTCAGCCTTGAACGTGACGATGACGACCAGTATCAAGAGAACCTCGACACGCAGGCAGAAGCCGAGGTTCTGCTTGAAATGTATCGTCCGCTCTTGGCAGAGCGTGAAAAAATCTTGAAAGGCGCCGTGGCTGTCGGAGCCACTGACCGTCCGCGACTGTTCAAAGAGCTGGAGCAAGCAGTGCGGGCTGCAAGGCAGGATAGACTCAAAGGCATCGCGCCCGAGACAGAGGCTGATGAGGAGCTCTTGCGAGTGCAGCAGCAACAGCTCACTCACTTCAAGAAGCTTGACGAGGAGCAGCGGTCGGTCTCCTTGGCACACCCCTCCCAATCCTTCACAGGCGTAGCTGAAAGGCTCGGATTCCAGCGCGACAGCATTGTCGGACCAGAAGAGATCGCTCTGGCCAAGCAAGCTTACATTGAGGCAAGACGTATCATCGGCGAACAGAGCAAGCACCTAGACCACCTCGGAAGAGAAGAAAGAATGCTACTAACGGCGCTCTTCAATGCTCGTAGTCAATACTTCAAAGAGATCCAGGTGCTGTCCGACACAGTGCGTGATCCTATCTTTTACGATCTCGAGAAGACGATCAAGGCGACGCAGAAAGAGGAAATCGAGGCTGTCTCGAAGGTCGAAGATCTCGAGAGGCGGTTGCGGTACCTCTTGCATCTGCAAATGGTGCAATCGACGGACAAGCTGGACCAGGCAGCCAAGACTTGCAACATCTGCACCGACCCGATTGAGATTGGCATCCTCACCAACAAGTGCGGTCATGTCTGCTGCGAGAACTGCTGGAAGGAATGGCAATCGCAAGGCCATCGAACGTGTGTCATGTGCCAGACGCGGGTCTTGCCAACCGAGGTGCATCGCATCATCTATTCGAGCGCTGATGCGACGACTCGCCACGGAACCGTTGCATCTGCGGCGGAGGGCCAAGGTGTTCCTGACTCGGTCGATGGGAGCTACAACAGTGCAAATCCATTGGCGGTGCGTTACAACGAGCTCGACGACTCGCTGCGATCTACTCTCAATCGATTCGCCATTGAAGGACGATATGGCTCCAAGATTGACCACGTCAGCAAGCACGTCCGACACATCATTAACCGGACTGGCGAGAAGTCGCTCATCTTTTCGTCGTTCCAACGAGGATTGGATTTCGTGGCACAGTCGCTAACAGCCAACGGCATCCGCTATGTGCGATTGACAGGCGCTGGTAAGATGGGCAGCGTGGCGGCCAAGGACTTCCGGAGCGATCCCAACATCCACGTGATGCTTCTACACTCGGAAGTGCAGAGCTCCGGTCTCAACCTGGTAGCTGCCTCGCACATTCACATTCTCGAGCCATTCCTAGATACGAACAAAGAGCTGCAAGCCATTGGCCGAGTGCATCGTATTGGGCAGACCAGAGAGACCAACGTCTGGTGCTACTACGTCAAGGATACCGTGGAAGAAAGGATCCTGGCGCTTTCGGCGTACAAGGGCCACAGCTTGTATCTCAGAGGACGGCATACGAGCTCGACCGAGGGACTGATTGACGTTGCCTTTTCATCGAGCGGCCCTGCGTCCGGCCAGTCGCGACAGGCTGCAAGCAGGGTAACGGCGTCAGGAAGAGCTAAAGGCAAGGGCGCTGCAGGGGCCATGCGAGGCGACATGACGAGCAACAGCAATGAGTTGCTGGCTTGCTTCTTTGCTCGATACTTGCCGCTGCAAGGGCAAATGCCGAGCGTGCCAGCAGGTGCGACGACGAGTGGAATGGCCAGTCGGAGCAACGCCATTGCGAGCGCCGCTTCAACAAGGGAGCAAACAGCAACAGTGCCAGAAGGGAGCCGCAGCAGAGACGTTGTTGAGGAAGATGAGCTCACGAAGCTCCGCAGAGCACGCTTGGCTGCTTTGGAGCAGCGTCAGTCGACCAATCTGCTTTGATCAGCAACTACGAGCGTATGGCTGTGGCCGCCCTGTTGCTACTTCTTCACGCTTGTGCCAATAGTTGTGAAAGACTTACATCATGTGCTAGTGATCTGATTCTAAGGTCTGTCGTGTGTCGCCTGCAAGTGCTTCGACTCATAACGTCTTCGAAAAGAGATATCCCGTCCAAGGCAAGCCTGGCCCATGCTTATTTTTTACGTCGAAAGGGCCCAACGGCTGGAATCCTAGTTTTTGATAGTACCTGTCGAATCGAATCATATGAAGGGAAACAGATGAGACTCTTGGTCACTAATAGCACTACTTCAATCTAGATCACTACACACTCACTTCATAAGGCCATCACGATTGCCACGCCAGCAGTCCCCGTAGAACTTGCTCTTCTTGAGTGCTTTGCCTTGCTCAACAGCAAAAGTCACAAGTTGATTTCCCGCACCTTTGGCCAGATCGCCTGTTCTTCTGTCGACGATAAGGTAGTTGAGATAGAGGTAGTCTGTCGCTTTGCGCAGCTCATCACTGATAAGATCATGCGGAATGTAGTCTGGGAAACTTGTTGAGGTACCTTGTGCTGCGACTCTTGCCCACCCTTGGTCAGTTTGGACTTCGTAGATGAGGAGATGTTGCCAACTCTCCAAGTTGCTGCTGGCTGAGAGTTCCGAATTAGCATTAAGACTGTAACTGTCCTGCAAGTACCCAGCGAACGATTCGCGAACCTTGGGCTTCTCCGAGAAGAGCACTGTCCCCCACTGAGCTTCAGAGCCAATGGATGCTAGATACGGTAGGGCCGAGTCGAAGGCGTGCAAGACAAAGTCAACGTCGCTTTCGTCTGGGTTGATGACGCCCAGCTCGGTCAATGTCTTGGCAGGATCAGAGGCTGGTTGAGCTGTGCGGAATCGTGCTTTCCTATCCGAAGCGTATGCAATCATCTTGGAGAGAGTAACGCAAGGTATTGATTGAGATATGATGGAGAAAGGAGGCTGAGCTCGACGTCGACAAGAAGGGTCTGCAAAAAGGACGAAAGATTGGTGTTCAGACCGCGCATGGCTTTGATGGCAGCCGCCGGATTGCAAGATTCCGTGTTTTGACGATATCATCTCAAACGTGATCTCTTCTGTTCCTACCACCAAAGACGCGCATCCATACGACATCATCGATCGACTTGGATGGACTCACAAACGGGGCCGTCACGGCCCTCTGAGCCCGTCACTTCGCCACCACGGAGGAGCACAGATCAGCGATCGGCGGCAACTCCTACACTCACCCACAAGACATCGATGGTCGGCACTACAGACACATTTGCATCCGCAACAGACGGCGAGGGCGAATACACTGACGCAGCCGCAGATGTGAGCGCATGTCATGCCGACGATGCGCAAAGCCGCTTCGAGAGGGTACCGCAAAAGATCCATGCACATGTTCACGAACGTGATGACCATACAGCGTTATCTCGAACATCTTCAGCCCAGACAGCTCAACGACAACACACGGCAACAACTGATCAGCTACACGCCACGGCTTGGGCAAATGGCGTCGTAGCGCCACAGGAATCAGTAGGCGCGCAGCTCGCATCATCCTCAACCTCTGACTCAAACACGCAACAGCATTCAGCGGTCGAAGAAGCGGGCAAGCAGATCGAGCGAGGCCATCTTCCCACACCAACACTTCATCGAGCTATGCGGCACTGTGCTATTCTTGGCCTGCTCACATTTGCTGCAATCTGGGGAACTCTAGCGCGCGAAGGTCTTGTCGCCCTCAACACTTACGACGGCGAAAGCGTCGCATCTCTCGTCTGGGCTCAAGCTGTTGGCTGTCTCTTCATGGGTCTTGCGATCGGGACAAACAGGCAAACGATCGAAGGTCGATATCCCCCTGCATACATCATGATCACAACTGGCTTCTGTGGGAGCGTCACGACCTTCTCCAAGTGGATACTTGATGTGTTCCGTGCGTTCGGCAACCAGCGTCACTTTGATCGACACGGACTGCATAACGTGATGGATGCACTGTCACAGACAGGTGTCACGTTCGGCATGGCTATTGTTAGTGTTGCTGCCGGAGTGTCCTTGTCGAGACTCGTCAATCTCGAACTCCTCGTCGCTGCGTACTCGTCGCGAACTAAGTCAAGGTCACAGCTACCGCAGGCGAGTCAACCTCAGCATGCTCCGACTGCAGACAAGGGTAAGGCCAGCAAAGCTGATCCGGGAAACACTCTTGTCCTCGACGCATCGATGTTCTCCCTTGGCATTCTCGTTTGGATAGCCTCTGCTATACTCTGCGCTCTCTACGCTTCATCCCGACGTGTCACCTTCAGTCTCGTCCTTGCCCCATCTGGTGCCATCCTCCGTTGGTATCTCTCGCGCTTCAACACCCACCGCATCTCTCAACGCTATTCTCTCCCTCTCGGGACACTAGTTGCTAACCTTTTCGCGACCGCTGTGATTTGCGCAGCTTTCACTGCATCACGCGCTGGTTCCGTGCCACGCTCGTTTGCAGGTGGCTTGACAGGCTGCGAGGCACTGCTGGGTCTCGAAGATGGCTTCTGCGGCTGCTTGTCGACTGTCAGCACGTTTGCGGTGGAGTTGCGAACGATAAAGCCACGCAGAAAAGCTGTTAGGTATGCAGTGATTTCCTGGGTTGCGGGTATACTGCTATGCGTGCTACTTATCGGCGCTCCCTGGTGGAGCATCGGAACGGACGGGAGGTGCTTAGGGCTTACTTCATGACCTGCATTGTACTTGTACCACTTTTCATTTCATCAGATCCGATCGGAACGGCATCTTTGGAAGCAATGGATACACAGAGCTACTGAATACGAAAGCGTTCTCTGAACGTCAAACACAAAGATTGCTGGATGCAAATGAATGTGCATTACGTAGAACATATTATCGCTCAATACGATCAAGAGCTTGGTGAGACTCTTTTTGCAAGCCCGGACTTCTCGTAAATGGCATCAATAGTCTTCATAATGATCACAGACTCCTCGTTCTGCACCCAGACCGGAACTCTCTTCTCCCCCTCTCGGTCCTCATTGATCATGTTGATCGGGCTGACTTCGTGTGCTGGTGTGCCTGCCTGCACTGCCCTAACACCCAGAACAAATGCTTCCATCTGCCACCTGTAGGTTGTCCACCACACCTCACCGGTTCCCTTGGGCCAGTGGCCGTCCTTTGCCGCCCTACGCATCTGGTCTGTCCCCGAAGTGTCACTGGGCACGTAGGCTTTGTAGCTCTTTGTCGTTCCTTGCGGCACGTTGGCGTTGATTGCCGATTTGCCGCGATAGGTAGCCACGATCTTGTGCCATAAGAAGGGCGCGACGAAGTTTTGCAGTTCCACCGTGCTCCCGTCCTTGAAGGTTGCCTTGAGTGTAGGGCAGATGCGGCTAGTGTTGGGGACACGCCAGCCAAGGAGAGGAAGGGTGAAGAGGGATCGACCAAGCGAAGTCTCGATCTTGCAAGGAAGTTTCGCGGGTCGCGCGGTGGGGACGAGGATGGTGGTGTCCATGGAAAGGTCGACTGCTGGGTCGCCCTTGTCGTTCAAGTGATGCTTTGCTCCAGCTGATTGTGGGTAGAAGTGGGTCGGGCGAGCCTCGCGCACTTCGATTCCGTCTTCCCAATTCGCACGTTGCCAGCATCCTGCAGCAGCGCGCATGGTGTATAGCACGGCAGAAGTGGGATAGCAGCCGGCGTCCATCAAAGCACCTCCAGCAAGCTTCCAGTTGAAGCGAATGTCGTCATCCTTGACGAGACCCGCGGGGCCGAACAAGAAGGCCGATACTTGCGTCATAGGGTTCTGTGGAGACATCAAGTCATGAAGACGGTAGGCAAATTCGTGCAGCGCAGGGTGGAAGCGGTAGTGGAAGGCTTCAAGAACGAGCACGTTGGCTTTCTTGGCCTCCTCAAAGACTTTCCTGGCTTCTTGCTCGTTGGAGGTGGAAGGCTTCTCGAGAAGAACATGCTTCTTGGCAGCGATGCACTTGAGGGTCCATTCATAGTGAAGGCCGTTGGGAAGAGGATTATAGACAACATCAATGCCCGGATCGTTGATGAGGTCATCGTACGAGTCAAAGACATGGGGGATGCCGTGTTTCTTGGCGAACGCTGTGGCACGGTCTTTGGAACGAGCAGCTACTGCTGAAACGATGATATCGGGATGTGTCTTGGCGGGATTGATGACAGCTCCAGGAGCAATGGCGGCTGCTCCCAGAATGCCCATCCTCAGTGGGCCTGCAGAGGAAGAAGCGCCATCAGAGACAGTACGCTTCGCCAAGGTTGGTGGATAGAGAGATGTGTAGATCGAGGAGAGCCTGTTGTATAGGTCTTTGACTGCCGTGGTCATTTTGACGAGTGCCTGAGCGAGTTGTGATGAGGGTGAAGGGAAGCGTGGGACTGCTGTCGTGGTATCGCCGGATCTTCTCCAAAGACTTCTTTTAGCCACCATGAGGTGGAATTCTTGAGTGTGAGTCCGATAAGTTAGTTACCACGGTTCTTCCTGGCAAAAGTTCGGACATGTCAACGTGGGGCTCATCGTTGCAGCAAAAGGCAATGGCTGCGGGTTGGATGGACTCTTACCGAGCTTGAAGCCAATCAAACTCGCCATCATCATGCACGAGCCAGTCAGCAACCATAACCTCTTTTTTTTTTTTTTCGTCATCTCGGTCTGTCTCTCGTCACTGGTCTCTTCATCAGCATTTCAAGCTTCTCTGAGCTTTCATCGGCATCAGCGCAGACTGCAAGATGCTGTGGTGCTGAGCTATAATGGAACGTTTTTTCACCATGACCTTTGGAAGAACCGAACTTTAACGTCAAAGAGACTGCCTAGCCGAGATCGGAAGCAACTCAGCCTTATTCCATGGCCACGTCGACATCCACACCACGTTGATGCTTTTGCCTCACCTCTAGCGACTGTCAGAAGCGAGGCATGGCCCGCAGCGCTCTCGCAGGGCAATACAGCTTGAGGCCTTTGTGATCCTTGCACTCAACACCGCATTGAGGTGCGAAGGAGCAAATTGTGGCGCTGGTGCCATCAGTGCTCTTCACAGTGAGGCCCAGGTCAGACAGTCAGTAATGGAACCGCAGTGTAGATTCCCTCAATTGATCAGCGAATAGGGGCCCACAATCAGCCTCAGCCCGCAGCTCATCTACTTGGATGGCATTCGATCGCACATACTTCCGTGTTCATTACCTTTGTCTTTCCTAGGTCCTGTCGACCATCTCCACTCCGTCAGTTACGATCTTCTGTGGTTCCAGGTGGCTCTCACTTGACAGTCTCGAAGCGAGCTCGAGCGTACAGAGGGCGGAGCTCAGCATCAATTGAGGTCATGGCGAGCTCGTTTGCGAAGTAACTGGCCAAGAGATTCACAATCCGCACTTGCACTTCGGAGATACGTATTCGTCCAGCAGCCATGTTCCAAACAGCATGCGAGAGAGTAAAGAAAGAACATAGTAAAGAGTTGCAGGGCTACATTATTACAAGGGCAGGAACACTGTACTGTACTGTACAGATCAACACAACTTTCAGCCCTTCAGACGAGCAAAGTCATCAGCTCGTCCAGGAAGTATGTCACGCCAGCTAGGAGCGCAAACGTTGTGAAGAGCAACACTCCGATGTTCTGTCTAGAGATCCATCCCGCCGCCGAGGGAGGCTTCCTCTGCGCTGTTCCTGCATTGGCTTGTCTCGGAGGCGCTGCCGAACTGCTGCTTGCCACAACACTCGACGAGCTTCCTGATGCGATTGGAACAGTCGTAGGCTGTGCTGATGAGATGGACACGCCCGAGGGTTCGAAGATCGTCACAATCCCAGATGAGGGAAGTGTTTGACCATTGACCGAGACGGTGGAGTGAGGTTGCAGGGCCATCGACATGCAATCTGGTCGCACAGTGAGGGGCCCGATTCCATGACCGCCCGCTGACTCGGTGGCTAGAATAGCGGAGAGGGTGCAGATGGCTGCAGAGTACGAGGAACCTGTGATCTGCGGGTCATCGGAGGCTGATTGGACTGGAAGTGAGTTGGGGGGTCGGGAGATGGTTTGTGCCTTTGCTGAGCTGAGAAGCAGGCTCAGAGTGAGGATCAGAAGGGCGAGTGATGCTGTTGCTAGCATTGTGGGGATGCTGATGGTGATGGCGACGAAGCAACGTGCAAGTAGGCATGGTAGAGAGAGGAGGTCAAAGCGGCTTCGATGCAGCAACATGCATCCTATCGAAGCCATTGGACTCGTGACAGCAAGCGGCATCTGAACTTATACCTTCCTCGCAAGGGTCCCAAGCGAACCATCAGACAATTCGTTTAGCAATTCCTTTCTTACATGGTCTCAGTAAAGACTTTCTTCTTGGATGTTACACCTTGGCAGCATACATGACCGGCCAAAACCAAGTCTTATCGTGGTTCCCGTGTTCGAATGAGAGCTTAGCTCGACGTTTGATGCTTCAGCTCCTCGTTGCCATCTCCTCGATGAGCTGATAAGCTAGGTGCCCAACGGCTCTCGGCGTCTTCGAGTGCTGAGAACGTAAAAGCTTGAGTATAGCGACTGTACCAGCTGAGATGGTAGCGGCAAGGACCAATTGTGACCTTGCAGCTTCGCAAAAAGGCAGACAGATGGTTGTGCAATTGCCATTTGAGCGAAGGATGACATACTTGGTCATTGACCCACCGGCGCAATCCACGCATGCAGGCATGGGTGTGGGAAGGTAGTCGACGTCACCCTGAGCGAAGCGGTCTCGTGGCCTGCTTCTGCTGTTGTTGCTCCTGCTGCTGAAGCCAAAATAACAGTCCAAGCCAGACATAGAATTGAGAAGATCCTGATACCCATACTGATAGCGGCACGAAGGCGATGGCCACCCAACCAAAAGCGAACAGATGGATGGAGCGCCAGTAAAGAGCATCATCGACAACGAATGTTAGATCTTGACATGGGGGTCAAGACAGTGTAGCTGATCCTTCCAAAACAATTTTTTTCGAAAATCGAGCGGTAAAATGATGGCCGAAATGAAGGCTGAGAAATTGAATTCCGACCCAACACGACTCAGTTCTGCTTCTTGCGCAGGGTCCACCTCTCTCACCTCCATCGCCATCACACCTAAGAACTCTCCGTCCTCCTCGTTCCTCCTTCTCTCCTTCTCCCCTACCCTAGAACCGACTGAAAATGGAACACTGCATCGGTATCCTCATCGAACCGCTCGTTGGGATCCTTACCGTTTGCACCGAAGTGGTCGCCATTTGCCTCGACGGCTGTCTCCAAACCTGTCGCGAATCATGTCGTTGTATCGGATGCAACTCTTCTCTTTGCCAAAACAGCTACGACGAGGAGCATGGTGAACAATCGCAACCCATTCTGCAACGATCTCGGCCAACAGCACAGCCTCAGCCTGAAAGACGATGGAGCTCAGTTCAAACATTGCAAGATGGTGGCAGATCCTAGATGCGCGTACATCTCGTCGGGTATATGATTGTATTCTATCTCAGGAGGAAAGGGTGACGAGGCAAGTCAAGAGTCGTTGTAGCTCATCGACGTACAGCGATGACTCTTTCGACTGAGAAGCGGGCAAGGCAAGCTCGGCCAAGCGGGCGGCAGCAAAGCCATTGATCCTCTCACAGCGCTCCTCACCCAGCAGCTCCTGTCTCGTGGCGTTGCCCGATTCCGACTGGGCTGTTTTCGGTCCTCCGAGCAGCGACATAAGCGCACTCGCGGAGCTGACACGGATTTTGAACACCTTTGCGTCCAAGTTCACGCACAGCAACTCTACACTTTGATTCAGCAATGGTCCTTTCTCCGACAAAAGGCGGAAGACGATATCCGAGCGTAGTGCACGCTCCATCGCAGACGCTGCATTCCAGCGCGACTTTGGCGGCTTGAATGTCGTACCTAGCACCTTGCAAAGCTGTTCGATTAGCTTGACGGCCAAGCTGCGTGCTTCCGCTGATGCTGATGGTGCAAGCAGCGCAAGCAGACTGCCAGAAGCCCGACATGCAGATACAGCAACTCCTTCGATGTCTCGTGCTGCCTCAAGACAGTATTGCGCATCAGAGATCCACTGTTGGGCAGAAGGAGATGTGCCGGAGCGAAGCCGAGCTTCGACGACGTTGGAGAAGGCCCATGCTGCTCGCTGACGAACTAAGCTTGATTTGTCGTGCAGTAGATCGGCTCCCCACAGTGCTTCGCGGAGACTGTCTTGCACCTCAGCTCCATCGCTTGCAGCATCTGAAGAAGGCGAAGATGTGTCTGATGGGAGGACGAGCAGTCCCAGCACACGAACGGCTGCAGCACGAATCGCCTCGTCACCATTCTCACAACAACTTTTGACGTATTGCAGGATAGTCGGAAGCATTTCGCCGTCCACTGTCGAACCCTGCGACAACACCTTCCAGAGATCTGGAAGGCTCGATAACGTGGCATTCTGTTGATCCGACGTTTTGCAGGTCCTCGTGCTTAGCTTTTGCCAGATTGTCAATAGCCGCTTACACTCTATCGTTCCGAGCAAGTCAGATGGGCCGTCAGCGAGAGCTTTCACGAACGAGGACCACGTTGGTAGATGCTGTACCGGGTCATTCGCCGCTTCGAAAGCTGCCAGAACCTGCTCGCATAATGAAGCGTTTAGCTCTGCTTTCTCGCTAAGCAGCGCTGTGAAGTCTACCATCGTTTCAAGGCCAGAACACATCGCGCTGCTGGAAGCAACGGCTGGATTGCCTGCTGCAGGAGGGAGTGAATCCAGGGGTTTCGCTAGCCCAGTACGGGTCAGGTTAGAAGCTGGTACAAGCAACCCCAATACTCTTTTCGCTGCGCCTTGCACCTCAGTATCGCTGTGCGAGACGAACGGCACCACAACCTGGCCCAGCACCGCCGCATTTGCGATGACGAGCTTCGCCTTACTCGTATTGACAACGAATACTCGTATCAGTTGCAATAGCGCAATGATCAGCGTGGAAGGAATTCCCACTGCTTCCCCACCGCTGCCCGACGCACTTGGTGCACGCGCAGCCCTCTGTAACGCAACCACCAAGTACGAGCGAATATTAACAATCCAGCCGGCCAGCTGCGACGATAGCGAAGTAAACGATAGTGCGCGTTGTGCTCGTTCTTGCGCCATCGAAAATTGTAATGCGCCATGTGAAAGGATGGATTCAAGGGCAGACATGGCTGCAAGCCGAACTGAAGTCGATGAATCGTTCGTAATGAGTGTGCACAATGAGAGAGGAGCACTGTTGACTGCAGACGGTAATGGCCGTGAGACCAAAGGTGGAGTGGGCTTATCGAAGGGATTCGAGGCTGGCTGATCAGGTAAGAGATGGCTCCATCGAGTTATGAGCGAGCGCGATTCAAGCCGGTTGAGTTCGGTCAAACAGTACAAGGCGTTTTGACGATTGAGTTTTTTGGCTGTCTCCAGCTGCCGGGACTCAGCTTTGCTGCTGCGAGCGCTGGAGGTGGAAGTGGTGGAAATGTCACTAGGCTCGCTTTCGCTCTTGTCGCTCTTGCGGTCCGTTTCGCCGCTCGACGAATCATCGGCTCTCGAGGCATTGTACTGTTGATCACGTGTCGACGCTGGATGAGAGTACCGCACGGGTTGTTTCCAAGAGAATGCTCCAGCTTGTACACTTGAGGTGGAGCGGGGTACGGTCATTGTCGCTGGTCGTGCTGCTTGTAGGCCAGCGAATATACACGGTAGTAGGATGTCGATCAAGCTCGAGAGGCTTGCATTCTTGCTGCCTGTGCTCGAAGCCGGAGATGGAGTCTTGGTTTGCTTGGGCAGAATCCGCAGAAGGGCATGAAGCGTCTTGAGTGCTGCAGCGATGGCGCGCAGGGCAGAGGTGGATAGACTCAGAATGTCGGCGCCCGATCGAGTTGCCGAAAGAGGGACCGCCTTCGAGCTTTTAATCTTGAGCGTAGATCTGAGAAAGTCATCGATGGGTCCCAACAGCGCGTGGACGGCCTTCAGCGCATGTTGGTCGGAGTTGATACTGGAATGCTCCTTCTCGATGTGCAATGAGATGCTTTGCAAGACGGTTCGACGGACATCGCTAGGCGCTTCTCGGATCGCTGCCTCGATCAAAGGATCTAAGGTCAAGTCTGTGAAGCTACTGGCTATCAAAGGATGTAGTGCTTGACGAAGCGTCTCGAGTGAGGCACGACGCTCTTCGGCCGGAAGGCGCGACTCGCGGAGCCTGTGCAGAAGCACCTCGACGTCGATCCCATCCATTATGATCCCATCCATTATGACAGTATGTAGGGATGAGATCTATGCTCCTTGCGTCTGTGTCATTGTGCGAGCGGATCAGTCGATGTGAAGGATGACTTTCGAAGAGAAGCTCTAATCGAGAGTTCAGGGTGCAGGCCAATATTGTTAGCACATGTTCGGAAGTCGGACTCAGCTCTGTCAACTCCACTTTGATACTCCACCCTCCTCCTTGTTCACCTTGCTCAAGCGCTTGACTAGCCAACAGCAATGCTGCACATCTACCGACCAGCTGTAAGCGCACTGCGACGTCCGAGACCTTTGTTCAGCCAGGTTTCTAGATCACTCGCAAGTTCTTCACGCGCCATGTCGTCGCCTCCGCTCCAGGCGCACAATTGCGAGCCGTGCACGGCCTCTCTCCCCGCTATGTCGCCCGACCAAGCCAAGGAGATGCTCTCCTCGCTCAAGGGTAAGTGGTCTCTTTCGCCACAGCCCAAGGCACTCCTCTCCTCTAAAGCAACGCATCCTGATGCACTGCATCGTACGTACAAGTTCAAGGACTTCACTTCTGCACAAGCATTTGCAAACAACCTGGGGGAACTGGCAGAAGCAGAAGGACATCATCCTGCAATCATGGTCGAATGGGGCCGAGTGACTGTCTGGTGGTGGAGCCATACTATCAGTGGGGTAAGTGTGATAGATCAACAGATCCAAAAGAAAGAGCGAGGCTTACTGACGTTTACTGGCATCATCTCGTTGGGAGTTGAACAGCTGCATAAGAACGACTTTGTCATGGCGGCCAAGACGGAAGAGCTTGTGCACCAGGCCGAGGGATATACCCCGCCAAATCCGAAAACATAGATGCAGCTCATAACTCATACCTCTTCGAGCTCGAAGCTACTACTTGTGCAGAGAAGGACGAAAACCTGTGATTTGATAATAGTATTACAAGTATGAGTGAGTAGAAGCGGGGTTTGTAGGTCAAGAGCGGTCCAGATCTTTGACATAAGCCTTCCACATCTTCCTAGACCACTGCACCAGCCACGGGCTTTCATCGAGCACCTTCTTGAGCTTTCTGAGCGGGTCGTTTGGGCTTCCTTGCGACTGAGGCGTAGCTGCCAATGTTAAGATTGTGTGAATGACGCTGAATGCCAGTGCATCGAGTGAAGTTGGCTTGTCGGCTCCCAGCAGGAACTGGACTTGAGATGAGCTCTCAGACAGATGAGCTTTGGTTCGAGCAGCGAGCGCTTGCAAGCCAGCAATAGCATCAACGGCAATCTTCTCCTGGTCCACCGAAGGGCTAGCCAGAGCTGCACCGGGAGTGTCTCCTCCGCCACGCGATTCAAGGTCTGAAGTGGAGAGAGCCGATGCGGCAGATGCGGTGGTGGCGCCAATCCAGCCAAGGAAGCCCACCTCCCAGCCTGGAAGTTTCGTAGTTGGCTGAGCTGCAGAAGAGGAGCTACCTGCGCTTGAAGTCGAGGTAGATGCGGTTGGGTTGAGTGCTGAAATGCGCCGCAATTGTTGGTCGAGGAAAGAATTCTGCAGCTGGGCAGAGAGTAGCGAGGAGAGATAGGGCTGCGAGTCGGTCTGCGCATACACTGCTGATTGAGGCGAGAGAAGGACAGCAAGCAAGACACCAGCCATGATTCGGCCTTTGATCATGTTCTCCCAGCTTCTTGCTTCGAGCTTTGTCGACGCATGTGGCCATGCTGACGTCGCTTTCTCTCCAAGTTCCGGTCGAGAAGCGGGATAGTAGTTGTCGATCAGATGTGGGATATCGATAGCGGAGAGGAGCGAAGAAGAAGCAGTGCTTTCCACCGCATCAGTGCCGAGACGGAAGCGCGATGGAAGATGTAGGAATGGCATAGATTTGGCGGGTCCCCAGTTGTGGGAGGGGTGGATGAAGCGGACCTCAAAGTCGATATCGCGGAAACGGAGTTCCATCTGCCAACGCAATGCAATAGGGTCACTGCTTGTCCAGCCGGAAAGTTGCTGACCAAGGCTTTCCTCGTCTTCGACAAGGTCTAAGGCCGAGCTGGCGTCGTCTTGAACGCTGGAAAGGGAACCGTCACGATTCAAGTGAGGAGCAACGTAGAGCGTGGGCTTGACCGGAAGCGCCGAGATCGACGGTGAATAGACTTTGGCAGCGGGATATGTGTGTAGTGGGAAGGCAGAGAAGATCGCAGCAGCCCATCTGAGGACGTAAGATGGTTGACGTGCTTTCCCCGTTGACCAGACTGTAGAGCGAGGAGGTGCTGGTGGAACAGCCTCGATCTCTGGATAGCTTTCCATCGACATTGCAAAGTGTTGCTGCGACTTGATCTCCTCTGCGTCTCGATCTGAGTACGATGCGTTGTGTTTCGGCCAGAAGTGTCCGGGTCGTTCGAAGCGATGAATGTGTTGTCGGTGTACAAGATGATGTATGTGGCTCGATACTGTTGAAAAATAGCAATCCAATATGATGATGCAAGGTAACATGAGACGATACGGGAGGGATCGGGCGAAGCCGATCCGGTCAAAGATCGGATGGTGCCAATCTCATCAGAGATCGGATACCACATGGTCCTGCCCGTTGTCAAGCATCGTCATGAAGGAGGATACACCCACATTCGGCATGTACTGTACCATCCAGATGTACAGTATGCATGTAAACTGTCCCAAGATTTTACATGTCACCATACATCACTCTAATGCTCAATAGCTATAAGTTGTATTGCCACACTGTCTGATATTGTCTGAAAGCACTGCTTCTTCTCTCCAAGACTGTGGAATTGATATTGACTAAAAAAATTGTGCTATGAAGAAGAGCCAATTTTTTTTTTTATTGTGGGACAGTTTATGGAGCACTCCTTGAGAACACCTTAGTACTTTGTATTCCCTCCTTTGGCCTTCAGAACCACCTTGATGCAGTCTGGCATGCTCTCTATTAGTATCCTACATGTCTCTGGAGTGATCACTTTCCATTCAGCTTCACATCTCTTGAGCAGTTCATCCCTGGACTTTGCAATCATACTATACTGTGAAAGTTGCATTTTGAGATGGTGCCAGAGGTGTTCAATTGGGTTCAAGTCCAGTGACTGCCCCAGCCATTGCATAACCTTAATGCTATTGCCTTCCAACCATGTTTTTGTCTTCTTTGACATGTGTTTTGGGTCATTGTCTTGTTGAAACATGACATCAGTGTATGCATGCTGAAGCCACAAATCTGAGATTGTTTTCAAAAGCTTGTCATTCAGGATATTAATGTATTGGTCTGAATTCATTGATCCCAGCACAAAGTGTATACCTCCGACCCCTTCCCACATCATACAGCCCCAGATCATGATGGAGCTGCTGCCAAACTTGACTGTCAGCCTGACAAGCTTGCTGTTGAAGCCAGTGTTCTTAATCCAACAGAACTGCTTCCCATCCAGTCCAAAGAAGTTGATCTTTGTCTTGTTGGACCATACCACATTCTTCCAATCCTCAACAGTCATGTCCTTGTGCTCCATTGCAAATTTGAGACACACTTTGTAATGTCTCTTGAGTAGCTTTGGTTTATTCACTAACCTTCATGCTTTGTAATGACAGTAATGAAGTGCTTTTCTTACTGTCATTGGGCATGCTTTGATGTGAAACATCTCCTGCAGTGCATGACATGCTTTCCTGACTGTGGATGTTGAATTGAGCTCAAAATAGTGGTCCAGGAAGCAAACATGATGAGGCTGGAGTTTTCTTGGCTGGCCCCCCTTTGACTTTGGAGCATCGGTGGAGGCACTTTTGCTGATGCGAGACAACATAGACTTGCTCAGACTGAGTTTCTTGGCAACTGAATGGGTAGATTCTCCATTTTGGAGGTGAAAGAGTGCCAATCAGTGCTTCTCGGGAGTGGTTTTTGTCATGATAATATAGATATGATGGTGACAGACTGGAAGTGCTACTGGATCACTCACAGTCATCTGATTGAGCTGAAACTTTCCATGTCACTACTTTTGATGTGTATGAAGGTGCCCACCAAGTTACATTACAAGTTTCATTGTAGTCAAAAGCCCACAAGGTCAGGAATGGAGTGGTGTTGCTATTTGGGAGCATGCTTCATAAACTGTCCCACAATAAAAAAAATTCAGCTCTTCTTCATAGCACAATTTTTTTAGTCAATGTCAATATCAATTCCACAGTCTTGGAGAGAAGAAGCAGTGATTTCAGATGATATCAGACAGTGTGGCAATACAACTTATAGCTATTGAGCATTAGAGTGATGTATGGTGACATGTAAAATCTTGGGACAGTTTACATGCATACTGTATATTTATCTCACTGGGAGCACTAGGCTCTCACCATGCTTCTTAGTCAATTGAGTATATATGTTTCTGTCTTCTAGCAGCAGTGACATTGTACTCAGACTCTCCCCGATCGCCAGTCATTGGGACCAAACGTCTTTACTCTTCAACAGATACAAGGCGAGGGTTGGAACAGTGGCCAAGGCAAAAAAAAAAAAAAAAGTCGAGAAGAAGCCGAAATCCTCCCTCCCTCCACCTTTCCAAGCTTGGGACTTGATTTGTGAGTGAGCATGTTTGATTGCTATGTGACAAACATGTTCAAATTCGAGCCAAAAAAGCGCATCTGCTGCACGTGACATGGCGTGCGCATCTGAGCTGAACCACATGTGTCACAAACCGCTCAATCGGTTTTATTTGCTTTGTTTGCTCCCCACTCTGTCGAAGTTTGGTCCCGATTACTGGCGATCGGGTAGAGTCTGAGTACAATGTCACTGCTGCTAGAAGACAGAAACAAATATACTCAATTGACTGAAAGAATGTGGTGAGAACCTGGTGTTCTCAGCTTGATATATAACATAGTTCACATACATGTCAAATTAATGTAGGTCTTGGATTGGAAGTGGCCAATTTTGCTCTTGAAAATGGAGGGGGACTTGGGAGTTTCTGGACTCAAAATTGCTGAAACAGCCAAGTCCCCCTCTCAATTTCGAAATTTTGAGGCAGCAGCTCCACTATGATTCTCACACTTTTCTTTTCTCATCTTGAACTTGTCTTGATCTCATCTCCATACACTCCTTTCTTGTCAGCACTGCTCAACATACACCACTTTGACATCAATGGCCAACATCTCACCTAGGAAGAGGGTTGCAAAAGCCCAGCTGCAGACTGACAGGGACCAGAAGGAGCATGAGATCCAGGAAGCTCTTAGTGCATTCCAGAAGGGTCAATTCAAAGACTTGAAGGCTGCTGCTGAGCATCACAATGTCCCTTACAACACTCTCTGGGATCACAGCAAAGGGTGCAAGAGCCACACTGCTGCCTTTCAACATCTGCAGGCTATACCACCAGGGGCCAAAGAACTCTTAGTCCAACATATACAGAAGCAGGCTCACTATGGTTTCCCAGTAACACCACAGAATCTCAGACAGTTGGCTGAACAACTTCTCAGGCAGAGGACTGACAACAATGATGCTACTCTTGGACCTAATTGGGTGTCTGCTTTCAAGCAGCAACATCCAGAACTCAGAAGCTACTACTCTCACAAGATGGATGCTGCAAGGGTACAGACCACTAGTGATCCACCAGTTGTTGAAGCATACTTTGATGTCTTGGAGAAGACTGTGCCAAGTATAGGATCCTACCCAAAAACATCTTCAACATGGACAAGACTGGGTTTCTCATTGGACAAAGTCAATGCTGATACATCATTGTACCCAGGGAGAATGGGAAGAATCAGTGCTTCAGGTCACAGCCAGGCAATTGGGAGACTATCACAGTGATTGAGTGCATTGGTGCACAAGGGACAAAGCCACCACCTATGGTTATCTTTTGGGGCAAGAACCACATGCAGGGCTGGTACTGCAATCACACTGCAGCTAAGGACTGGGTCTTTGCAACAAGCCAGAATGGCTGGACTGACAATGAGCTTGCACTACACTGGCTCAAGGACTGCTTTGACAAGCACACCAAGCAAAGGGCTCAAGGAAAGTATCAGCTGCTTATCCTTGATGGTCATGGCTCCCACATCACAGCTGAGTTCATTCAGCAAGCATGGGACTCCTGCATCGTCTGTCTCTGCCTTCCTCCCCATGCAACACACCTCCTACAGCCTCTTGATGTCATGATATTTGGACCTTTGCAGCAAGCTGTCAGGGGTCTCGCGCCTGAAACCCAGGTCGGTCTGTCGAGATACTCAGTGACTATCAAACTGTGCAACAGCTATTGTCTCAGTATCAGTCTTGACGAGCTATGTCACTTGGTGACTATCAAGTTGCACAATGACAGCAGGTGGCATTCGTTGTATATACTATCATAGGTTTCAGCTGACCTCTGTGGACACTCCATTCAGGGGTAGCTCGGCACGATCAATATCAATATGTAGGTTATGATGACACCAAGGTCTGGTGTGAGTGTTGATGATAATGAGGTTGATGGTGTTGGTGATAAGGTTGGTGAGTGTTGATGATAATGAGGTTGATGGTGTTGGTGATAAGGTTGGTGAGTGTTGATGATGATAAGGTTGATGGTGTTGGTGATAAGGTTGGTGGCATCAACACAAGTGTCCAGTGTGTTGACTGATGCTTGAAGTGATCCCCAGACCGCAGTGGACTACTGCCTTTGGTTCTATCTTAATCCGAACTGCTGGTTTGCTATGAACCGCCTGTCATGGGCCTGAATGCTCAAGAAGCAGGAGGGTCACTGGTTCATATGGAAGGGGCACAGGTATTGGAGATCTAGTCGATACCAGTGGAGAGCATGGTTGCAGTGCAGTCTCCATGGAGACCATGGACTCCTATGGACTCACATGCAAAGGAGGACTGGGCCCATATGCAAGGAGGGCCAGGCACAGCCACGAAGAGGACCAAGCTCAAGAAGCATGCAGACAGTTACCACTCAGGGGCTCGAGAGATAAGAGTCAAAGGAACTGTCACTGGTCAAAGGAGAAGGAGCAGTGTATAGAAAACTGGCAAGCAGGTCCTGAGGAGGAGGAGCAGTGTTGAAGGAGTCAACACCACTCAGGAGGCACAGGGGTGCCAAACAAGCAAAATAGCAAGGAGGAGGAGCAGTGTCGAAGGAGTTGACACAGCTCAAGAGGCACAGGGGTGCCAAGCAAGCAGGATAGCTCAAGGAGGACAGGAGTGGTGCTAGAGGGGCCCCCTGTACAGTACTTGATGAAGAAGGTACTCTCTGGATAGAGAGCAGGAGCAGCATCACTGGCAATGCTGTGTAGAGGTATATAACCATACCTTCTTGTCATCAGAGGTTGAGTGGATCCTCATCCACTCTACATACACCATAACTAGTTATCACTTCAGCATA